TAATAAGCACCGGAGGGAATATTAGTTTTTGCGGCGATAATCGTTGGTTGATAAATTGGTTCAGATGATGAATTTTTCCCCATTTTCTTTTTTGGCGTCACTAAAATTGACCATCGTGTATGTATAACATCGTTGAGTATGGACTCAATAATGTTATTCAAATACATTTATACTTATTTTGTACGATATTAATTTCGACCCATTTTTTCAGGCAACTTAAATTTTTTAATATGAGAAATTCTATGATTCCATTCTCCTTCTATATATGGCCTGCCCTGTTCTCCGAAGTCATGACATTCTCAGCTTTAGTATAAACATAGATTGATTTCTTTGGCTGGTATGGTTCTAATTATCTTTTTGTTACTTCTGATATGAATGAGTCTTGAGATTTCCTTTTGAAACAGATGCAGCTTGACTCCAAGACTCAAAATCACAGCAATTTTGTCTTTCTGAAAGTTAATTGACATACCCTTTTTTTTTTCTATAACACAAAGGTTCACTGTCATTTCCTTTTGGAGCAATGGAGAATAATAAAAGCAATTCATTTGAACTTTCTGTTAAAAAAGGACAGCCAACTTTGATTCCTCCAGCTGAAGATACACCAAAAGCCCCGTATTTCCTTTCCAACCGTGATCAGAACATGGCGTCGATTGTTTGAACAATTTACTGCTTCAAAAGAACAAACGACTTAGGCAATGAAACGGCTGGTGAAGTGATCAGAGATGCATTGTCAAAGGTTCTTGTTCACTACTACCCGCTCGCGGGCCGGCTGACGATTAATGACGAAAGAAAGCTTGCAGTAAATTGTACAGGGGAAGGGGCAATCTTTTCTGAGGCTGAAGCAGATTGCAAGATTAAAGACATTGGTGATCACACAAAGCCTGATCCTGTCACGTTGGGAAGCTTGTTTACGACGATCCGGCCGCGAAAACCATACTTGAACTCCCTCTTTTCGCTGCTCAGGTTAGAACTTCTTTTCCAGCATCTCCTGAAATTTTTTTTTGGAGTTTCATAAGTTTTGAATTTTGATCCATGATTTCCCCTGTTCAGGTGACAAGGTTCAAGCGTGGAGGATTTGTTCTTGGATTGTGCTTGAACCATTGTATGTTTGATGGGATTAGTGCAATGGAATTTGTCAATTCATGGGGTGAATTAGCCAGGGGATTACCCCTGACTGTCCCTCCATTTATGGATAGAACAATCCTGAAATCCAGAATTCCTCCCAAGGTAGAATTTGAACACTATGAATTCAAAGATATTGAAGACATTTCAAATACTAATGAACTCTACAAGGAAGAAATGATGTATAAGTCATTCTGTTTCGATCCTGAAAAGATTGAAAAACTCAAATTCAAAGCCATGGAAGATGGGGTATTACCCAAATGCACCACATTCGAAGTGCTTTCGGCATTCGTCTGGCGAGCTCGCAGCCAGGCCCTGAGGATGAAACCTGAACAGAAGACAAAGCTGCTCTTTGCTGTTGATGGAAGATCAAGATTTGTTCCACCAATTCCAACAGGCTACTTCGGGAATGGAATCGTGCTCTCGAATTCGCTCTGCAGCGCGGGCGATTTGGTCGAAAATCCCTCGTCTTTTGCAGTAAAATTAGTCCAGGACTCAATCAAAATGGTAACGGTCGGATACATGAGATCCGGGATAGATTACTTTAAAACAACCAGATTAAGGCCTTCTTTAACTGCAACACTTCTGATCTCAACATGGTCTAAGCTCGGATTCCACGCAACCGATTTTGGGTAGGGAGAACCAATCTCATCAGGGCCTGTTTCTCTTCCTGAAAAGGAAGTGAGTCTTTTCTTATCCCATGGTAAAGAAAGGAAAAGCATCAATGTGCTTCTTGGATTGCCTGTTTCTGCCATGAAGACATTCGAGGAGGTTTTGCAGATCTAAATTGGTTCATTGCTTTTGCTATTATGAACTTCAAGCTTGTAATGTATTAATATCTACTTTTACCTACAAAAACAGTGGAAGAACTGCAGAAGAAGGAAATAAATGTTGTTTTTTTTTTTCATTTTTGTTTTTATTGTTGATTGTAATGTTGTTAAAGTCACCTTGGACTCCCATCTCAAAACCAATTGGCAATGAGTGGATAATTCACCAGATATACTGCTAGGTCAGTCAACAAGCCCGTACACACGGGTACATACTCCGAATATATTGTCGGATCAATAACAAGCCCACCTATGTGCACGGAAGCGATTAACGCAAGTCCAAGGCACACGGATCCAAGCCCGCACACACGGGTCCATAGTTATCACAAGTCCACAGATCGTAGGCTCTGATACCATGTCAAAGTCACCTTGAGCTCCCATCTCAAAACCAATTGGCAATAAGTGGGGTGGTCTTTGGCACTTATAAACAGGTGACAGATCCTTCACGATATCGATGTGGGATTCTTTTTGTCCCAACAAATGTTCTAAATATTGGAATTATGGAATCCAAACACTGTTATGAGCTGGTCTAATGCAATTTCTTGAATTGACTTCTCGTTTTGTGCTGGCTTACTTGCCACCAAACTCTGCGTATTCTAACGATTTTGAAAATAACTTAATGTTAATTAAAAATAACATTTGTGTTCTAAGAATGCTACGGGTAAACGCCACGCTCAGTATGTATAAATAATATGTGTACTTTTTATGCGTTATAATTCCCATAAAAAAAAAATCAACAAACGTATTGCTTATTTAAAATTTTCCAAATGATTGCTTATTTTTCTCCTCCTTTTTTTTTTTTAAAAAAAAATTCTTCATTGTCTCCCTTGGTCTATGAGTACCAAATGAAAGTCAACATTTTATTAGTACTTACCACAAAAAGTTATGTTTGTTGTGTTACTAATACTTATAAATTATACACACACTTTAAATAAATTCACTTTTTGAGTCAAAACAAAAGTAGAACAAAATTTGCAACAAAATTTTGCAGCCGATTTTTTGGCCTCACTGCCTCCTCCAAGTCTGATGAATTGGCTTTATCACGACGTTGTTGGGGTCAGTTAGTCCCGTCGGATTGTTGTATAAATTAGAAGCAATATGAGTCTCCCTTTGCACAAAAAAAATAAAAAATAAAAAAATTGCACTATCATGTACTATTACTTGAGGATCAATGAGTGCCTCTTTCTCAAAATTCAAGAGAAGTTAGCTTCCCCCATGCATAAATGTCTGCAAAGGTCCTTAGTAATATGCGCGTGCTAGCATTCCCTGGTACTATTTCCCACTTCCCCTACGTACAACGAGCCAATACAAAAGATCAATTTACATCTCCAAATTTAAAAGGTTACATAATATTGTCTTACAATTGCATTTGTTAATGGCAAAAAGTTACGATTATTACGTTAAATGGACATCCAAAGTTACAATTGCATTTGTTAATGGCACAATTTGATATATGGAGTTCAGAGTCTCTTGTTTAAGTACAACATACTATTTCCATTCACTTGTATCGGTCGGTACTGAGTTTATATAACTATTAAAGAAATAATGATTAAAACTTTAATATTAAAGCGTGTTGTCTTTCTTGTCCCTTATTAAATGTATTAAAACTTTATAAAAATTTGAAATTAGAGTGTAAAAAATAAGTAATTGTCATTAACATATGTTATCAAAAGTAGAGAGAGATAAATGTGAAATTACAAAAAAATGTATTTAACGTTGCATTAGATATGAAATGCAACCGATAAAAAAAAAGTTCGTTTGCTTTAAAGTGATAGATAAAAGTAAAGGGTGATAGTATTTGTTAAATTGTCTAAAGGGTGTGACTCTTTTGAGGCAAACTTTGGGCCTCAAGTATTATATGCGTTGCGTTGCATGGTTTTGCTCAAATGTGCTAAAATTTTTTGAGAACAATTTATTGTTGTTACCCGGTTAACCATAATTTTTATAGGAAGGATTTTAGAGTCTAACATGTACGGTCGTGGAGCTTACACTGACAATAAAATTCCAATTACTTTTCAAACATAAGCAAAACATAGTGCATATATATACATGAAAGATCCTATACTTCCGCTTGGCCATTGTTTTTCTTTCACTACATTTCGTATAACAAGTTCAAAAATTTGTGCACTAAAACTTATGAGAGGATTGCTAAAAAATTTACATATGAGTATCAGGATTTCCGTCAAAATAAAAAAGAGTAACTTACAATAAATGTACAGGAAAATGATGTATTATAAAAATTTACTATTACTAGATAGTAAAATCTATTATTGACTAAAATAACTCATACATAAATACATAACTCAATTTACTATTACTAGATAGTAAAATCTATTATTGACTAAAATAACTCATACATAAATACATAACTCCTCTTTCTTATGTCAAGTGTTTCCATAATTTTATCTTCTTTTTTTTATATATATAAATCACATTTCATTTTATTACTATTTCCACTTATACCATTGTTGTTGAATGTATTAAAAGGAATATTTTGCAAATGACTACACCGAAAGTGAAAATATATTAGAGGAAAACGATAGTATATATTGAACTACAGGGGGTATACTTGTAAATTACTCTTTTAAAATATGGATCGAAAGTAAAGTCGTAGTTGAGTTCTCTCTGGCCCTTCGCCCCTTCGGTTGGTTGATTATATATTTTTCTAAGGAGGCGTTAGAATATCTCTATTGATCTTTTTATTATATAATAAGAGAAATAAAAATAAAGTTCCAACAAATACATCGTCACATCACCAGTTTGTGTACTGCTACGATACAAATTTTTTCGTTCGTTTTTTTCTCCTCCTTTCCGTTAAAACTCAGCTGATAATCAAAATCCCACTTTTCTTGTGTATAAGGTGAGGTGATTGTTTCTGGGTTTTGATTTTTCTTTTCTTTGTTTAATTAAAGTGGGTGGGTTGGCGCCGTAAAACTAGATCAGGGTTTGATTTGTTTTCGTTCGTTTACTGTTGCTATTAGTTTTGTTTATTGTAAATCTACTTATTTTTCTCGTTTTTTGGTTCGCTTTTGAATTGAAGGAGGAGGAGATATGTCGGGAGCTTTAAGGAAAATATTGTCCTCCCGAGGAGTTTCTCCTGCGCTGGTATGTAGTGATTTGAGTTTGGTCATTTGTTGGATTTGTATTGCTTCGTTTCTGCGTTTGGGTTTAACAATATGATTAAATTTTTGTTGGGAATTTTTTTATTTTTGAAGGGTGTTCGTATAATTGCATCCCGGGCTTACTCCTCTCCGGCGGGAACAAAGCAGGTGAATTCACTTTCTGGATTTTTTGTCTCCAAGTTTGGGTTTTTTTGTTTTATTTTACTTTTTTTCCTTTGATATGTTAGGTATTGATTTCAGCATTTTGTTGTATGTAATTTGTGATCTTTAGATGACAGTGCGTGATGCTTTGAATTCTGCTTTGGATGAGGAAATGTCTGCTGATCCTAATGTATTTTTAATGGGTGAAGAGGTACATTCCCACTCAGTCTTATGTTATTTTACGCAGCGTCGACTGCATTTTTTGACCTGTCTTCCGGTAGGATTAAGTGATTGATGAGTAAATTCTCTTGTTTCTTGCAGGTTGGTGAATATCAAGGCGCATACAAGGTAGATAGGGCTTTTGACATGTGAACTTGGTTACATCTATATCAAATGATAGCCATCACTTTCTTGTAATACATGTTTACAGTTTTTGCTTTAATGGTTTCAGATTTCTAAAGGACTTTTGGAAAAGTATGGTCCTAAGAGGGTGATTGATACTCCTATCACAGAGGTGCTTCTTGCTCTTTAGGTTTTTGTATGTAAAAAATGTTTTTTTTGTTCCTTCACTGAAGAGCTGGTGCTAACCAATATGTTTTAACAGGCTGGTTTTACTGGAATGGCAGTTGGTGCGGCTTACCATGGTCTAAGGCCTATTGTAGAGTTTATGACCTTCAACTTTTCAATGCAGGTTATCTTCTTAGGCCTACATCTTGTGGAGATAATTTTGAACTAAGTCTGCAAATTTCATTCAACTTGAAGAAGTCTTTCATATTCGTCAAGAATTCACTGTTTAGACCTTTTTTATACGTGACCCTTCTTCCATCTTTAAGATGTTGCAGTTTACCGTGCACACTTCTATCTTAATCATTCTGCTGCATGCCATATTTTCACCTTTTCTTTTCTACGTAACTGTTTGACTTTTAGAGCAAGATGACATTCCTGCCTGAAAAAGTCCGATTTTGGTCACTGTAATCTGGTGAAGTTTTGAAATTTACTCTGGAATACAGAAGGATGGGATGAAATTGGTGTTGACTTCTTCCTATGTATCTTTTCGCTTAAGAGAAAGTGAGAAATCATAAAATATCGAATATCTAGTGCTTATGCAATATAGGTAGCCCAAGTATCTTGCTACTTCAGTGTGGTCACTCCCACTTTAGAAAATTCATTGACTGAAAATGGCATGAGAGTTGGGAGGAGAGGACTGAGAAGAAGATTATCTTTCTTTTTGATTGCCTAAGAAGAATAAATGAGCAATCAAGCAATTACCGCTGATGCTTATGGAAAAGCCTTTTGCATCGAAGCTTTTAAACTTGCTCAGTTGTGAAACTAAATCTTCACACATATTGCTGTTCTCCAAAGTTGAAACTGCCACTGTTAGATCAGAGATGAGCCCCGTTCCAATTTGACTATCATAAGTTCCATATTCGCCAAACGATTTCATTTGAGTACTTCTCTCAATGTCGCTGAACTTCGTATATAAGTTATGTGTTAAGTATGGGCTATAGAGATTATCCATGCCATTAGGTCCTTTTTCCTTGGTTTTTTAAACTGTGTTTGAGGCTGATAAATAAGCTCCACTTTAGCTCAGACCATCTCTAATTCCTTAGCGAGACTGTCATTTTTTTTCCCTTCCCCTGGCGAGTTTCAGTTTTATATCTTCGAAGAGATATTTTAGCAGAAATAGGTTGCACAGATATCTCCTTTTGACTATTAGGTTGAATTGATTGTTTACTAGCTTTTGGCTTTCTTAGTGGCTGGTTTTATTTGTATGAACATCTTCGTTGTCAGAATTTAGCGTTTACAGCTGCTATGAATAGTGTGGTACAATGAGTTTATACTGGTCTGAGTATGAGTTTTTTTTATCTAGAAGAAAACCTATGTCTTTATCCCGCTTCTTGGACTCTAAACTTTTTTATCTACGATTGAGACGAAACCAAACAACATACAAATGTTGCCTCTCTCTGGAAAAGAATTAGTTGTTCAAGTAGAGCACTGTACCTTTCTTTCAATTTAAATATTTTAGTGGCATGTTCTTTTTCATTTGTGGCAATATTTCTTCTCTTGTTTTCATTTTCCACATGTAAAATGCTTCAATTTTTCCTACTATGTTTGGTGTAGCCCTAGGAAGTCGTCTACAGTTCAGTAGCTGTGATTACCTTGTCTCCTGTGTCTTGGATTGGCATGGTTATAAAACCATAACTGGCTTTCATCAAACTCCTTGCTTGCCCTTCCTTTTCCTGTCATTGTTATCATTTCGAATGCAGTGCTTAGAGCTGATGTATATGAGTGTGGAAATATAAAACTTTTTGGAACTTATTGCAGGCGATTGACCATATCATCAATTCTGCTGCGAAGTCTAATTACATGTCAGCTGGTCAAATATCAGTCCCTATTGTCTTCAGAGGTCCTAATGGAGCAGCTGCTGGAGTTGGTGCTCAACATTCCCAAGTAAGATTCAAAATTTTGATATACTGCTTGGAGATCTGTGCTAAAGTTGAACTCATTAGTTGTCTGAAACAGAAGTGTTCTCTGTTGAGGGTGTTTTGGCTTTTAAAGCAGTAGAATGAAATTTCTGTTTTACAAATGATGTCTTCTCTTGTTTTACCCCTTTCGAATTTAAGATAAGAATAATTATCAATTTAAATGTTTTATTTAGTTGAATGTAGAGACTATTGAGGAGAGAAAGCATGATACATGTATGTTTCCTCTATGATTTATGCCATTATCATTTTACTAGGTTCTAAAGATTAAACTTCAAAAATATGAAGTCACACTCACTATAGTTGGGGCTGATGTTATGTTCTACAATTATGAACTGGATCATGAGTGACAATCTGTGATGAATGGTTGCCAGTGAATGCTCAGGGCCTACTTTGCTGTCATATTTTTTACTCAAAACAAAAGCTAAGAGGGAAAATTGAAATAGAAAGAAACTCTGTCAGAGATCTAATTTTTGTATTTGCTTTTTGGCAGTGCTATGCAGCATGGTATAGTTCATGTCCGGGTTTGAAAGTACTGTCTCCATATTCAGCAGAGGATGCTCGTGGCCTGTTGAAAGCCGCCATTAGGGACCCAGATCCTGTTGTCTTCCTTGAAAATGAGTTGCTGTGAGTAGTTTATGAGGATCCAATGATAAAGATAATACTGGCTGCATTTTATGAGTTCCTTTCTAAAACTGTTGAGAACTAATTTTACAGGTATGGTGAGTCTTTCCCTATATCAGAAGAGGCTCTGGATTCAAGTTTTGTTCTTCCAATTGGGAAAGCTAAGGTATTTCTTCTACGAACTGCTACATTCTCTATATCCAGTGGCGAAATGATCTTAACGTCCTTAAACTTTCTCAGATAGAACAAGAAGGAAAGGATGTCACTATTACCGCTTTCTCAAAAATGGTTGGCTATGCTCTTAAGGTAGTTTATTCTTTTCCTATGCTTCTTTCCTCGAATCCTTAGTCACTTGGTAGTGTATCTTCATGCAGAATCTGATTTACTTTATTCATTCAAAGAGGATTGAGTATGTAATTTTTCATGGCAAGCTGATACTTTCTTCATCAAAGAACTAATATTCAATTGATGTAGATTGAGAAAATTCTTCATGTGGTGGCACTGAGCTGTTTGTCGCTTGTAATAAGTGAAAGGTTTTAATGTGATTATTTCAACAATGTTTAGAAACACAAGAGGAGATATAATTAGGCAATCTAGATGCTGATAGCTTGACAGTCCACAAGAAAAGTGAAGCGAATTTTAGTGTTTTTTCGGTATGTAACAGTTGGGCGAAGTTCTGAAGTAATCTGAATTTTTAGATGTCAGGAGATATCAATTCAGTGACACGTTTCCAAAGGGTAGTTTCATAACGGAGCCACATGTCACATCTTTTTTTTTTTTATTTGAGGATTATTTTCTCAGACCGTTGGTACCTTACTTCTCGAGCTGTCATCTTTACGTTATTGGGCTTATAAATCTGTTGATCCTTCTGAAAATTCCAGTTCTTTGTAGACTGAAAAGTTGAAGATTAACATAGTTTCTTTTCTGTTTAGTCCCATTTTCTTGAATTGTTTTTGTTCTTATGAGTTTCTGAAATAAGTTTTACTAATACATTCACTTTTTAGGCTGCTGAAATTCTGGCAAAGGACGGAATTAGTGCAGAGGTAAGCTATAAAATTATTTGCTTCGACTATCACAATATGTTGTGAATATACTGGGTTTTTTCACTTTTTGTTGTTGTCGTACTGTTACAGTATGTTGAATCAAGTTTCTCTTAATACTTCTCTGTTAACTGCAGGTCATAAATTTGCGGTCTATCCGTCCACTAGATAGGGCTACAATCAATGCTTCTGTTAGGAAAACTAACCGGCTTGTCACAGTTGAGGAGGGGTTCCCACAACATGGTGTTGGAGCCGAGATTTGGTACTATTCTCGTGGTCATCCTATCCTTTTACACTGATTTCTATTCCCATCGATTTTGTGATGTTTACTCATTTGCTTGATTTTTATTTCAACAGTGCTTCCATTGTTGAAGATAGTTTTGACTATCTCGATGCTCCTGTTGAAAGAATTGCAGGGGCTGATGTTCCCATGCCTTATGCCGCAAATCTTGAGAGATTGGCTGTCCCACAGGTTTGTAATTGTGTATAGTTGGGCGCCTAGGGTGCTGTATGTGTGCCATCCGTTCCTGTCTATTGATCCTCACCATTGTAGTTACTAATATTTACCTTTGGATGTATCATACAGATTGAAGATATTGTTCGTGCAGCAAAAAGAGCTTGCTACAGATCAGTTCCAATGGCCGCTACTGCTTGAGAAATGTGATTAATTCATCTTAACTGTTCACTTTCACGATTTTGGAAGAGAAGGAACTTGTGAAAAAATATTCCTTGATCCAGTTGTTTGGAGCACATTTATTTTTGTGGATCTCTTCTTTCAATAAAGTTTTGTTTGCCTTCGTCCTTGTTCCAATTGTTCTAACTTTCTTTTGTTCACATTATTTGGAAGATGAAACAAATGGTTTCCACTTTCCAGATGTCTGATTAATCAGAGGGGTCATATACTAGGTAGAAAGGTTTACTACTACAGAAATGGTGGTCATTTCTCTTCAAAATGTAAGCTGGATTCAAAAGAATAGTGTTCTAGTGTCATTCGCTTTGGTTTCGATTTTACTTTTTGACTGACAATCAGTATACTCCCAGCTCCATTCGATTTTACTTGAGACTGGATATGAATAGAGGGAAACCAGAGTGATAAAATGCAGAAATGTTCATGAAGTGTTCTTAACTATACAGAAGTCTGGATTTAGAGCAGATATCTCTCATAATTCCTTGAAAATCCCTTTTTGATTATACACCAGAGCCTTGAATTTACAACTTACAAGGCTCAAAAAATTGAAAACAATGGCTTAAAGGATACAACAAAAGAGGAAGGGAGGGGGAACAAGGACCTGCAAATTATTATTATTATTTTTTTTTTTTACACTAGGCTATTGTAACAAAAAATCCTTTTATTGTTCTGCCTTGAACCTTAGATCCATTGATAACCTAACTGATGAGGGAAGGAAGGCATTCAAAATCCTTCGAGATGGAGCCATCTGAGGTTCTTCTTTCTTTGTTTTTCGTCTTGAAGGTCCACCACTAGCCGCTGCACTACTCTTAAAAGATCGAGACTTTCGATCAAATATTGAAGAACCAAAAGAACTATCGGCCATGTTAAATGATAAAGGGCCGTTATTTGATCCATCTAGTGGGTGCCCAACGGCAGCATCCTGATGTGGTGGTGGAAATTTTTCACTCTTGCTCTTAGCATTAGATTGTGACAAGGCTCTCCATCTCTGCAAACAAATAGAACTGGATATGAAGAGAGGCAAACCAGAGTGACCCATGAACATAAGAAATCAAAAACCTAGGGTATACAGAAGATTAAGAGGCTATGATGTATGAATACCATCCCAATAATTTTAATATCACAAATATCCACGACTAAGTAACCGATTGCATTTTTTCAGGTTGAAATAGAAAATTAAGGAAAGAAGAACATGGTTTCCTTACATCTAAATTTGCTTGGTTTTCTGCATTAGCCTCTGGAGCTGGAACAGCTCGACTAATCCGGTCACGAGATCTCAGTCTTCTGGCACCATCAACACCATGTGGTTTCCCGCTTAATCCTCTTTGCCTATTGAGGAAATATGTTAAGTACATTGACATACTAGAAAGATGCAATGTAAGGATAATGGAAAATACCGTCTGGCTTCTTCATCTCTCAATTTGAGGTCCATTTCCTTGCTGGGAGGATACTTCGGTAACGTTAATGGGTCACAAGCAAGAGGTTCCGTGGTAAAGAACTGAAAGATACAATAGAAACTTTTTAATTACACAGCCAAAGAGATGGCTAGCAAACTACCTCCTACAAAAGCGTAAGAAATGCTAACCAAAGGACTTACAATTTACATAATAAACACTCACGAAATTCCCTAATAACTAAGGAAAAAAATGTACATGAGTACAACCGACAATAAAGACATCCCGAAAAAGAAACCCAGCCAAAAACCCGCAAAAAGGAAGGCAAAAAGAGAAAATCCGTGAGAGCATACTTAAACGTGTAAAAGAAACAACCTCTATATTAAATATTTTCCCATGCTTACATTATTATTTAATGCAGCTGTAGCAGTGCCTCTATCATCTGGGTCAATTGCAAGAAGTCTTTCAACCAAAGGGAGAGCAGAAGGTGGAAAATCCTTGAAGGTTTCTCTTAAGCACCGCTTATAAGGTTGCTGCGGCTTAAAAAGAGTAGCATTCGGCAACCTGGATTTCTTCCAATATTCCTCCGATGGAGAACCACACAATTTGAATATCTTGTGAAGTTGCTCAACCTATCAACCAACAAGTTTGATACAATCATATGTTTAAATAAACAGTTGCACTTAAGACTGTAGATAATTATTAGCACTGACCGAAGTGAAAAACTTTTCTTCAGTTATTTTGTTCTTTGTGACATAAAAATAGAAAAGTATGATCTTTCCAAGGGAAAAGTGAAAAAAGAAGAATCAGCTGTGTTGATGTTGCCTTTCCCACCCACAATAAAGAAAAGTGCACTTGATGGAACAGACATCGTGACAGTTAGAAAGTGCAAACTCCAAAGCACCCACACATAAAAGATATCTCTTCTCAAAGAACATTGTACTCCTATTTGGTTTAAGAAATGGAAGCATGTGCTAATATGGGTCTGCTGGTACAAGAGCAACTAAATAAATTGTTCCCCTGATAACATTGAATCTCAAACCAAGATGAATAACCAATACCCACCCCTTTTTGGGGACTAAGACTCAAGTGGATCCAAAATATGGTTGACCAAATGAACTTAAACCAACATGACAATAATGAAAAATTAAACATTTTGATTCTCACAAACAATTGCCACCAACCAAACCATGATGAAACACTTGAGGAACATTAATCAGAGGCATGCTTACCTCTGTTCTCCCAGGCATTATTGGTTTCCCAGCCAATAACTCTGCTAAAATGCAGCCAGCACTCCAGAGATCAACACCAACTCCATAATAAGTGGCCCCAAGGAGTAGTTCCGGAGGGCGGTACCAGAGGGTCACAACACGACTAGTCATAGGCTGCTTGTGATCAGGATCATAGAAAGAAGCTAACCCAAAGTCGGCAATTTTTAGGTTCCCATTATTATCAATTAGCAAATTGGAACACTTAATATCACGGTGTAGCACCCCATTATTGTGGCAGTGCTCAAGCCCAGAGAGAAGCTGCTGCATATAGCACTTCACCTACAAAGGCAGGTACATGATTAAAAATCTACAATAAACACCATTATAAGACGATAAGTCAGTGGCACAGCATTACATGAAGGTGAAACAGGAGAAAAATACGAAGTGTTGATCCAAAAGGTCAAGGACTCAGGAGAATTAGCCCATTGAATATTAGAAACATATAAAAAAGTAATATAAAGGTAAAAAGGTAAATGCTACATTTCACTCCAAAAAACAAAGGAAAAAGAAGTCCACACCACTAGGAAACCTATCTATTTTGGCTGTGGTTAACCAGGTTAGGCTGGAAATTTTTCTACCAAAAAGGCGAATTCAAAATTTTTTCTGTATTACCTCCTCAGAAATGGAAAAGCAAACATGTACATATGGATTTATTATCACGCACCCATTCTATATGAAGTATCTGAATGCTTAAGGCTTAACTACCCTTTAAAATATAAAAAGAACAAATAAGCTCAAGAAGTGTGCACAAGACTGCGACTATGGCGCAAATTTTTATGCAGCCGATGATGACCCTGACCCATTTAAGGTGGCAGATTGCAACAAATTCAATCACTAAATCTCAAACATTTAAACTCAAGTTCACCCTAGAGGAATCTTGCAGTCTTCATTCTGCTCGGAGGAAAATCTTCATATATGTTTCCAAATCACTAACAAATAGTTCAAATATTTTCTTGCTGAAAAGATTATGCACCATATCCACATTAGGGGCCCAATTAAGCTTATAACCTTAAGCAAAAGATTGCTAGCTTTAATTAATGAGTACCTGTTCCACCAATTATCAATCACAAGAAGGCCCAGCAGCATTGGATTCCCAGAGGAACAAGCATGGGCCCAACAATTTACCAATTGTCAAGGTGCCATGCAACATCAGAATTCAGAGAGCAGATAAATACATTCAGACAGATATTAATTAATGCAATAAATTAAATTATACTTCCAGTACCGGTTCAAACAATGATGCTTGGTCAATAGGATAATAAACTTCCAAAATGACAACCAAAAATATCCAATTCATACAACAAAGGCCTCAAAAAGGAGATAGAGAGTGATAAGAAAAGGAAGAAAGAAAGTAAATTTTAGCGATACTGACACCTATAAGATAAAACAGATTTTAGGAAGAGAAATGTTTATTTTTCCCCTAAATTCACCTGGGGCTCAGTGAACTTGATTTGCTGCACGGCCGAGAGGCCAGCAAGATCATGCTCCATGTACTCGAACACTAAGTAAAGACTGGAAGACATTCTTGAGGTGACCAGCCCTTGAAGCTTTATTACATTGGGATGATCCAACTTACTCAACACAAGAATCTCCCTTGCCATGAACTTCACACTCTCCGGCTCCAAATTATCGAATCGAACTTTTTTCAATGCCACTATCTTCCCCGTTATCAAGTCCTTTGCTTTATACACATTGCTGTAAGTACCTTGACCAATCTACCCACCAAAAAAAAAAAAAAAGAAAAAGAAAAAGAGAAACGCAATTATTATTGGCAAAATACAAAAGATCAAACTTCAGAAACATCAAAGATGCTAACTGAGCATGCATTTCTTCCCCACCCATAGTGCATTACCATTTGATATGCTCTGCTAGTAACAATCTAACTAAGCAAGTGCCAAGATTGTACCTTTACATAACTAGATGAAATACATTTATGAAGTTGATGGAAGAAAAGGAAGCTCAGCCCACTTGTACCTCATGCATCAATGAATAATTAATGTTAATGATACTAATCAAACATAAAACAGGGATTTCTGTTCTGATTGCCTTATCTAGTTTCTCGAAGCTGCTAGCCCGGCGAGGAGTCCAACCCTTAATAGCATCTCCGGCAACGGCCACAAGCCAAGTGGGCCACCCTTGTTCATTAGTAGCGGTGTAATTCTGCAAGGAATAAGCACGCGCCGCCGAGGACTTCCTCCGGTCACGCTCCGGCGCCGGAACCTCTGCACTACTCCTTTCCTTCCTTTCTGCATCCTTCTCAACTCTAATAACCTCTCGAGAACTGCGCCTAGTCCGACCACCCAACCTCCGCCGCCCATTTTCACCTTTCCGGCGAGTATTAGCCTCTCCTCCGGCTGCCCTCTTCCCCAGAACACACCCCATCAAGAATTTATCACGATTCTTCCAACTTTCCCATATGGGTTCACTAGAAAACTCCCAATCAGAAACCACTTAGTACTAAAGAACATCAAAAAACAGAAAATCACAGCTCAAATTGGAAACCCAGTATGGGTTTTTTGTTGTTTTCCTCAGCATTAATTAACTACAACCAAAACTTCCCCTGTTCCCAGCTATATTCAATTGAAGCTGGAGAAAATAATCCAATTTGCATACAAAAAAGATGTGAATCAATGCAGTAAGTGTAAGTAGGAGCGTGGGAGTGTGTTACTGTGTGCGCTAAAAAGGCGAACTTTTTAAAGAAAGGACTGAAAGAAGAAGTATGCAAGTGAAAAGGAGGAACTTGCAGTTTAGCAGTTATGGCTTTTGTGAGTATCTAAAAAAAAAAAAAAAAAACATTTCTTTATTTATTTTGTCCATTTTTGTTATTCTATTGCGGTGGAGGAGAAATGATATATTGTTTTTTTTTTAAAACAAAAGGTCGTGGTTTTTGGCTTAATTACATGGACGCCACTGATTTGACGAGGTCATGTCATGATTGATGAAACTGATTCTCCAGGGTACGTACTGTAAAAAAAGTCAATCTTGTGAATGAATTTTTAACTTTTTCACTTTTGGGGGGTTTTGACTTGTTACAGTTTAGTATATTGTTTATACCATTAATGATTTTTAACAAATACTAATAAGAATGTTTCGTTTGATTTATTTTTAGTATTTTCTTGGGATTTCTATGAAAATAAAGGGAAATTACAATTATGATGATAGGGAAAGTACATATGCAATTGGAATTCATATCTCAATGAAATGGAGACAAAATTGTGCCATACACAATGTGAATATTTGGAATGTTTTAACCCTTATTCTTTACCTGATAAAAAATCTCCTACACTATAATCATATACCACTTCCTATATCATTCATTGAAATTTAATATACAACCTCGAAAGTGTCCATTCAATAGTGAGTTAGGTGTTAGTAAAATTTTAAAAAAGGAAAATAATAATTAAATAGAAAATGTGATAAATTTTATATGATAGTTAGGAATTGTTGTAATATTGTGGTGTATAAGATCTTCGGCTTCTTTTTCTATAGATCGTCAAATTCTTTTCAACTTCCCTCTTATTGCCTCTACCTTCTATGTATTTTATATGTCTACCTCTCACTTTTTTACAACAGAAATCTTTATGTAAAAGAGGTAAGAAATTTCTCATATTGATATGAATCTTATAAGAGATTTTTTTTTAATATCACTACATTTTGCTTCAATGTTTAAATGTGAATAGTTTTGATTATTCTGACAAAACCTTCTTATTTCAGAAAGGAAATAAAGAGATTTTTTTTAATTAAAAAAAAAAGAAGGAAGGAAAAAAAGAAGATCTGTACTCGTACTCATTAACTCACTCAAATGAATAGTGATCATTACTTATTCACTAATTAATGCATTCAGCCGATAGACTTTTGAGATTTAACTAAAGGATTCTTTTTTCCGTGATGGTGATCGATTTGGATGCTTTAAAAATGGTTTCTCTTTTCTTTTAATTTTTCCTAATCATTTACAAGATGACGATTATGACAAGCATTGATATAATATAGTTGTTTGATTAAAAAAAGATTACTATAAAGTGCCGTGTTGATTACTCCTCTAAAATTTCTATCATTCCTCAAATGCATTAATTAACGTAAGATTTGAAGCCCTTCTTTTGTCATGAATGAATAACTTGATTTTGGAAAAAAAAAAAGTTGGTCATGAAGGATGGGAACCTTATAGCAATTACAATTTGCTAATATTCTCCAGTTAAAGTGGGTGGAAATTAAATGTTCCAACGGCCCTTATTGCACCGTACACATATATTCCGCAATAGACTTACCTATTATAGACCCTTTTTGTTAGTTGTTATAGCCAAATGCAAATTTTGGGACCATTTGGTGTTAATTATTGTAGTGACAATGAACTAGTAGTACAAATTACTCCATAATCATAATGCCAAAGTGTTTTTAGGCACTAAATGTTCGTTAGAATGAATTTCCGTTGCTAAAGAAATGTTAGGGAATCTCTCGAATGTCCACAGATTAAAAAATAAAATAAAAAGAGTGAATTTTCTAGTTAGAGTATCCGTTATTTATATAATAAAATACCGGGAATTGCTAGCAAAATTTGTAATAATACTATACTCCCTCCGTCTCATAAATATTATCTAGTTTGAATTTTTATTTTTATTACAATTTGAATTAAAACTGAAAATCTAAATTAGATAATAATTTTGGGATATAGAGAGTACTTTGTAAGTAGTACATATATTGTTTCATCGCAATTTTTCAAAGAACTATCATTATTTTGGATGAATGGTTTTTTTTTCTTTTTCTCATTCATCATGAAATGATTATCATTATTTTACTTGTAAATTGCACTAATCATTTTGGAACAGAGATGATACTATATTTTATGTTTTCAACAGGACGAATCATCAAAATTGAGTAAAAATTTTTGGTCTTTTTACATACTTTCACTATTGACCATATCCTTTGACTAGTCAATGGAGATAATTGCTACTAGTATTTCTCAATTCTCAATAAGAGATTTGTAGTTTTTCCAAGTCTCGAACAAGATCTTTGGTGATTAACTCCCGTGATAAAAAGAATATTCCTTGGTAGCGGAGATCAAGTAAACTAGAAATTGGAAAAGGGAAGGCGAAGAAAAGAAGTGGACTCATAATAATGAAGAATATTTATTATTTTTTCCTTCTTTTTTCATTATTGGGGGGGAACAAATACAGTTAATGAAGAATAAAAATTTAAATTCTAGTGTAATAAATGCAAAAGATGCACATTTAATGAGTTTTCGGCAGGGTTGGTAGCCTCAAGCTTCATCCGGTTCCCCCTTTGTCTTTCTTCCAATTTAATGCACACCAATCAAATTTAGAATTTACCCTACAAATTTACTACAAAACTTTATGGTAAATGACGTAAGTTATTAGAACTTTTTTTTTTTTTTTTAATTTGGTACAATGAAGGAGGTTATTGCCTAGAAAATGAAACTACTACTAAACAAGTGAACTAAGACAAAAAATAAGAAAACTATGAATAAGACTTTATATGACAGTACTTTGATCGCTTTAAAACTTTCTCCATAAATACCTGAGATTTTTTCATAGTCTTGTAATATCCGTAATCCAAATAGTGTCACCTCCAGAAGATAATATTCATGCTTTATATACCCTAATCTCTCATTCCACTCAACGCGAGTCAACTTTCAAAATGCATGTTTTTTTAGGTTTGAAACGTTGAACTAAAGAAGAACCAAACTCGTCAAGCATGGTGATTTATGGATTTGACATCAATTACTTTATTAAGAGACAAACAGTGTTACAAACTCCATTGCTGATTGCAAGGAAGAAAAATATGTTTAATTATTGGTATTACTACTTGTTGTTGGGGCACAAAAGTCAAATAAAGAACAATTGGCGCTGGGAGACTTTGATGTCTTGCCGAAAATGATTTATAGAATATTGTTAATTTCCAATGGTCATCTCTTGCACCATTTGTAATAAGATTCCATTCTTGATCTTCACCTCTCAAAATTTGTAAAATTTTTTCAGTTTCAAAATACTTGTCCGCTTTCTTTGGTAAAAATAATACTCGAAAATAATTGTCTTGTTTAGATTTTCACTTTTAATTAACTAGTACAATCTGTTATAGAAATGAAAGTCCAAACTAAATTATTTTTCAAAGAAGGATGAAGCATTATTTTTACCAAACTAATTTTGGAAGATTCGAGGGATCAATCAGTATATTGAATGACCAAGAAAAAAAGAAAATTCACAGGTGATCCTTTTCTTATGACTACTTCTGCATTTGTACTAGTATTTTGCATCGTTTTCAACCATCTTTCTCCATTAGAAAAAACAGGTATAGATGACGCAAATGAATACCAAAGTGAACTCAAATATATATATATATATATATATATATATGTATATATTGGTGTGTCATTTTAAAAGCCCCCCATAAGTGTAAACATGTGTGAAGCTGATAGCTACTTACGATGCTTATTTAGACTTGCACCGCTCCAAATATTACATCACTACAATTATTTCGCAATGTACTTACAAAATCATGACTATGATATGAATCAAACACCAATCCATTTAGGAAAATACCAATGAATTTAGATTGTTGTATCTTTTTGGCAAAGAAATTTGTTTTCCTGTTCTAATTTCAAGTTTATAATCCATCAAAGTTACTTACTCGTCAGTCTTAAATTTATTGATTAACTGTTTCTCTCATCGAAATATCTATAAATTAAGAAAAAATTAATCGTTATTATTGATAACGGACGTATTTAAGATAAATGAAACGGAAAAGAAAACAAATCCGGAGTCTGGATACATCACCCAAGGTCACAAGCAATGGTTATGTCCAAAAAAAGGGTTTGGGCCACAATGATGGAAAAGCCCTGGTGTTTGCCTGTTTGGGCTTAAACTGTCAAATTTAAGAGCATGTGACCTATGTACACATCCATAGTGTATAAACTGTATATTCTACACATACTGAAAAGGAATTCTTGCCATTTTCCAGTTAAGATTCAGTCAAGTTGCAAAAAATACTACATACACAAAACTGTAATGCAGAAAATAGCAGCCCTCCAAACCTCAAGATTGCAACACCCAAAGGCCACAAAAAAAGGGCACAATAATGCAGACAAACAACCATAAAGTCATGAAAATGAAAGAGCACAAATGTAGGTTTAACCAAACGTGTCATTAGCCAATTGGATACCATCCTTCACTGATGATAAAACTTGCTTTATTTTGCTTCATTAGTGCTGCAAACAAGTCCAAATATCAATACAAACTACCATCATCATAAAAGCCATTGAAAATAGTGAATTCCTACATCATCAACCTAAAAGGGTCTCCAAATCTCCCACTTCCTTCTAGTTTACTGATAGTTATTGTTCCCCTGAAGATTAGTCTTTTCTCCCCCTTTTTTTTTTCAATTCCAAGAAAAGCTGAATTTGTTGGGTGAAGAAGATCATCAATTTGGTGGAAGTTTGAAGGCAAAAAAAGGGATCAAGATGGGAAAAGTATGCTGCAGAGAAGAAGATGATGGTGGTGGTTTTCCGCTGCTTGGTTTGGTGGTGGCTTTGGCATTGGCATTGGCTTTGTTTATCATTTGTCAACCCCCTGTTAAAAGAGTTAGAATTCATCATCATCATTGCCATTGATCTGATTCTGATGGGTTGATTCTTGTTTTTACATATGAATACTATATGATGCAAAATTGCAAATTGTAACTCTGGTGCTTTTCTCACTTTGATCATTATAATGAAAAATTTAGAGGCTTCCTTAGTTCTTAGGAAAGTGTGATCTGGCATTCTGGCTGCTCTGTTATGATTACTTTCTTGTTCAATAGTTGATTTTACAAAATCTTTTCCATGTTTATACAATCATGAAGGCCATCAACATATATGTATTCACTCCTAGTGATTGACATCTTTTTTCAGTTTTTTCCTTGGATGATCAACTGAAGAACATTACTTCTATGAATTCCATTCTTTGAAACTAGTCAGGAAAGATTTCTTCCTAATGTTTTCTGTCGGTGGAAAAAAGAAAAAGATGAATACTTTGGCATCAGTGAGGAAGATGATTCACAATTTTGCATCAATCATTGCTAGTAATGGTATAAGGCTAATTGGCTAAATACAGCTCCAAATCATGCTTCAAATGATACTGCTCTCCATTAAATCATCTGGGGCAGAGTTCAAAACTTGCAGTCCAAATGGCAGAACATTAAAAATTCACAAGAATGAGATAATAGCAATGCTGATTCTCAGGCACATTAACTAATTTATGTCATATACCAACTAAAAACTAAGAAGAATTGAATTGAATATTTAAATACAAGAGACTAATAAAATTGTTTGTTTCAAATATGACTTATATTATGCCGCAAGATCTTCAATTTATAACAAGGAAAAAAAAAAAAAAACTCATAGAAGTTGTTATGACTTAATTATGACCGACCACACACATACACAAACTACTAATCTGGAAAGAAAAAACATAACACCAATCAACAACTTCTTGGTTCAAGTGGTTGAGGTACTCTGATCACATTACTTGTTTGTGGAATAGTTTTACCTGAAATAGAATTTACTGGCATTGAATTGGAATTATTTGGAAGTTGGAACAGTGGATTCGCCTATAGAATTTCATACACAAAGAGAAAAAAAGAGAAACATTCCAGTGACATCATTAACATAGGCTAGCATCCGAATCAATCCGTGTTCATGGCTTAAACCTACCGAGTTTAACATATAAAGAAAAGAAGAAACAGTGAGTGACATGATCAATGTCAATACAAGAAGTCAAGACGACCATCCAGGAGGGGATTTAAGAGTTTTAGACCATTCTTCTTCTTCACACGGTTGCTTTTCTCATTTATTCTTACTTTTTCTTCAATTAATTTTATATGAGCTGCACAACATTACGATTGTTTGTTTGGTACCATCATCCACCATTGGCTTGAAAATCAATATTTTAGTTTTACTAGTCAGAAAACAACCATTTTTATGGTCCGTCTCTTTCCTTGAACCATCTCAGAGAAGCCAGTTAGACTTGAATTAATAGAATTCTTGTACTTGATTCTTATCTGTTACTCTCTTTGATTATAAGAACATCCCAGGATCAGTTCAACTTCCTGCACTTGAATTAATTGAAGCTGGAAAGTAGAAGAGCAGCAAGAAAGGAACTTTCCTTAGTATCTTTCTTGCCCGGAAACTCTGAAGCGAGTAAGTACTCCTATATCTCTCTTGAAGTGTGTTATTATTATTGATTGAAAAGGGGCTCTAAATCTTCCATTTTCTGTTAGTTGACAGATAGTTTCGCAGGATTCTGTTGGTAGATGAAGAAGAACAATTTGGTGGAGGTTTAGGCAAGAAAAAAGAAAGACGATGGGAAAGATATGCTGCAAAGAAGATGATGATTTTCCACTGCTAGGTTTGGTGGTGGCACTGGTGTTGGCAATGGCGTTTTTCATCATCTGTCAACCACCAGTCAGAAGAGTTAGAGTTTATTATTTTTGCAACTGATCTGATGGCTATGGCTGGGTGGATTCATACTTCTAACACATTAACTCCGAAGTCTCTGATGTCTATCACTTCAATATTGTAAATAAAATCAGAGGCTTCCTTATTTTTTTCAGAGTATGATTTTGTCTGCTACTATTATGATTACTTCCTAGTTTATAGTCAATCTCTCAAATGCATTTCTACAATGGTCCAGTTTACTTTCTAGTTTTTAGTCAATCTCTCAAATGCATTTCTACAATGGTCCAAATTGAAGTTGGAGATCATATTTCTCATGTTTGCAGACAAGCAGCAACTCATGTAGACAGTACTTCTTCTAGTTCTAGGAACAACCAAACAACAAAACTTTGATTCCAAAGATCAGATAGATGATCAAGAAGAAGTCCTTAACAATTTCTAATGTTTTCTGAAGATGAACAGAAAGAAAGATAAAAACTTTGGCACAGTAAGGACAAGATTCAACAATTACCGCCTATAACTTAAGACATCCAATGATCTAATGATATATTAAGGTATCAATATGATGATACAATGTACATCAGCCATTGCTGAAATGAAACTCCTACATCTCACCTAATTGCTATAGTAGGAAGGGAAATTCATCCCGGGAAAACCAAGAGCAGTTTGATTCCTGGCTGATCCAGACCCTCCAGCACCTCCTCCAACCGGTGACTGTTCCATTGAAACCCCATATCCTTGCAGTAGTGCCGCCTGAGTTCCATAATTGGCACCAACTCCGGGCATTGCAGCACCAAATCCCGCCGGATTCAACGCTGCTGCCGCCCACATTGGATTAGCTACCAACCCAAAACCTGGATTCTGCTGCATTAGCATCCCTCCGGCCGTCATAGCCGAACCGAAACCATCCCCCATGTTCAATCCTTGACCATAATTAACATTACCAGCATTGGTATTATTACTAGTAACCTTATTTACATTGGCATTCTGATGACTTTCTACAAATTTCTTGCAATTCAACTGGCAGCCTTCAAACACCTTAACCGGCTCCTCCAGAGCCTTTTTCAATCCATCAACTGATTTATACGTGAAAATGGCATACCCTCTTGGCTTATTAGTCACAGGATCCAATCCCAACGGACCATTCTCAATCTCTCCGAAATTCCCGAAGAAAGCACGGAGCCTATCCACATTCACAGTGGGAGCAACATTCTTCACGAAAATCTTCCTCTGTCCGGCATCAACATCGCCGGAACCGGAACCGGAACCGGCTACATTGTTTCCGGCAGGGCCCAGTGAAGCCAGCTGGCAAGAAGTGGTGCGATTTCCGATGACCTTCTGGGGAACTTTCAGGGCTTTCTGGGCGGCGGAAAGGGTTTTGAAGAGCACAAAAGCGTAGCCTTTGGCCTTGCCGGTGACCTTGTCGGTGATCAGTTTGTGCTCTTCGATTTCTCCAAAGGGCTTGAAGACTTGGAGGAGCTGTTCTTCCGTGGTGTCCCAGCCGAGGCCGTGGACGAAGATCTTCCGGTGGGTCGGGTCGGACTCGGCTTTCCGGAGGATCCGGGAGCGGATGGACGGGTTCTTCGCGGCGGCGTCTTTCAGGATGTCGATGATTTGCTCTTTTCCGAAGGGTTCCAGGAGCTTCTTTAGAGCCTCCTTCTTCGAGGCTTCGCCGCTGTTTTCGTGTTCCTCAGATGAAGAATCTTCGCCTTCGGATTCGGATTCGGATTGCTCTGACTGTTCTGCTTCGTCCGAGGTTTCTTCTTCGACTTCTTCTTCTTCTTCTTCTTCTTCTTCTTCATCATCATCGGACGAAACGATTTGGGCTCTCTTCTTCGTCATGGATGGAGGTTTTTGGTAGTACAAAGTGTGGTAAAGCTAGGGTTTAATAAACTAGCTGGACGCCGGAGCTCTGAACTCGGGAGAAAGAAGATGACGAAATAAAAGGGGGGCGGAATAGTAGGAGTACATTTTAACCCGAGTTTTTGATCTTTTTACAAAACAAACCCCAAATTTGGTTAATATTTTACTTCATGAAATCTGGTGTTCATTTTTTGCCTCTTTGATTCTTCTTATTAGATCTTATTTTCTAGATTTACTCTTTAGCTCAAACGCTCATACAACAATTTACAATTTGTAATCATCAATCATCATTATATACTTTAACTAAAATTATTTACAGAACACATTACATATACGAATCACGTATAATTTCACTAGTTTATTTCAAATTCAGCACTTTAATTGGGAGGAGATGGAGCTATCATTTGTAAAGCATATCAAATTAATTTTGTCTGGTTTCCACAAGCAAACTTCCCTTTCCGTTTCATCTAACATGCAATATGTAAGTTCATTCTAATCGATTCAATTTCAACCAAACAAACAACATTAGGACGTGAAAAGTACGATGATTTTTGCCTCACTACTTCATGATGATCTAAAGCTTCTTTTATGTATTTGTTATTTTTTGTTGTTGTGCATGTAAGATGTTCATCATCGGCAACATTGCATAATCTTACTTGTATAATTTGTTTATTTTATTAAATTAAAATAATATAATAAAACTAAACTATTAAAGTAGAACATATTAAACCTTACTCCTTCCGTCCCAAAATTAATATTCATTTTGAGTTTTCATTTTGAGTTACTCAAACTGAACAATAATTTTGACACAGAGTGAATATTATTCTTTTTTTCTGAAAACATATCTTCTGAGGTGGCTCACACAATAACTCCTCCAAATTTGACATTGTCTTGAATTTCAACGCATTTCAATAGAATTTAGTTGGCAATGTGGATTCATTTTCACATCATCCATTATCTTCTTCATCTAGCAAGAGGCAACTTTAAAGCTGTTATATTAGCCTTCGTACCCTACTGTCATTTCAAGAAGACAAAAATACTGGCAATCATCACCACAAATTTATAATAGGCTTAGAGGAACTTTTTAGCCTAACACCACCCACGGCGGAACGGTTAAGAAGGTTTTACTTTTACCTTGAAAATTCTACCCATTGTCTCAACATAGTAGGATCTCTCTGCTGCATGTTTCTTTCATTTTGTCCTCTAAACTTTTACGTTTTATTTACTCTACAATTTCAGTTGTAGTGTGTATATAGAACAATAAGTAAGTAAATAATCAAACATCAGAGTAGAGGAGGGAATTTGAGTTAACATACATTTTCAGAACATTTTCCCTACAATTCTACAAGGAACCTTTCAATCAGTCATTGAGAGTATGGAAACCTATGATCAGATAACTGCTTTCAGCCTCTATAGTTTTAGTCTCTCCTGCATCTGCAGGACACTTCTACAACTAAAAAATGAGTTCAACTTTCAGCAGAAGCAAAGCAACAGGTTTTACGCCGTGCAAAGCTTCTCGAGGGCCAAGTTCTCATCACCACCAGCCGCTTCAAGAGCACTCCTCACTAAATCTTCAGGGAAGCCCATCTCCACAAGCCGTTGCACCTACAAACAACAAATATCCAACTGAGTTTCAAATTTCAATGTTACCAAAGGTTTACATCTATGAAATTGCAATTCGTATTGGTAACTCGGAGGCAAAATTTCTTGGCATCCTTCTCTCTTAGGCAGCTAAATAAAACTGGCACAAGTTCAAGTAGGGAATATGCAAAGAAGAGTACGTAGGAAGAAATAAAGACACCTTCTCCGCAACTCCAAGAGATGACTCTTTAGCAAAAGCTTCGGTCCAATAACGTGCTGTGCTGACAAATGTTGGGTACTCCTTTAAGTACTGATACATTCAACAAAGGTAAACACTTATCAATTAGCAGTGAAGAAAAGAAAAGGGATAGTCGAAATCTGCATCAAAAGAAAATTAAAAAGTTATCATAAGTAGCTTTAGGATTGCAATTTCCCCAAATGATAAGCGGTTTGGTAAGGTGCACGGGGAATAGTCTAGTAGACACCATTAGCATAATTACCTGTTGCGCAACCACAGCATCTTGTGGATCACCAGGTTCAGGAGCAGAGAGTAATGCCTGAATAGAAAGAAGTGCGGTCTTCAAAGTAAGTGCAGGGCTCCACTGGTCTTTCAGGATGTCCAAGCATATGGCTCCACTTTGACTGCTTATGTTGGGGTGCCTTCAGGAGGTAGCAAAAAGCCCATGCTTAGCAGCAGCATATGTCATAAAACCAGTGCTATTTCATATAAAATGAACGCACATTAAAAAAACTCCATAGAGCAGTTTTTCACACAACTAAAATTCAACTTCAACACAAAAATCTTCCAAAAATGTCATAAAATCTTCCTTTCTGTTTCCTTTCTTTTTTGTGTGTGCAAGGACAATGATAGCACAATTACTACTACATTAACTACTTGCTGAGATTTGTGCTTCTTTTGCCTTGATAAGAACTGTAAGAAAAACTACCTCCATTTTTTAACCTCTAGTTCACTATATCTGTAACTTGTTCGGCCATGGTCCCAACCTTCTCTTTAGGCTTAGCCTTTACCGCTTCACAAGAAATAAGGACGGAAAACAGTAGTGTTGCTGAATTAATTCAACAATAAAAACAAATCAAGGGCTAGGTGATTGTCTTCAGTTTTGAAAATAATCTTTTTCATTACTGAAGATATCCAAACTAAACAATGGCTTAGAAAGAAAATATTCAGGGGATAAAAAATATTTAAAACATCATCGGTCTCGTCATTAACTCATAATTTTTTTGAGGACTCATCAATCACAGCCATTCTATGCAGAGTTTTCCTGGGGTTAATGTTACAAAAGGGATTTGTCAACCATAACTTCACCATGAAGACTAATAATGCCTAAAGGTAGAGGATCTCTTCCTGACACTAAATAGCAAATATGAACGTCTGTGACTCTGTTGCGGCTGCAAAGAAGAGATGCTAGAATAAAAAGAGATCTAATGTGGCAGCATATTTCCATGATATCATACCAATCCAGCACCTCAAGTACAGTAAAAGTTCAGTAAGTTGTAACAAACTTGTTCAGTAACAATTCTCTCACATCAAAACGACAAGTTGGTAACGTGCAAGTAACTTATTCAGTTAACATTTTCTTTCATAAGTAGGCAAATTAAAAAATGATGAAAGCATATTCCCAAGAAATTAAATCATGGTTTCAAAGAAAACTGTCACAACATAAAAGTAGCCAGTGGTATGCATAAATGCAGATCCCAAAAACCACCATGAACTTTTTCAACAAAGGTTTCAGAAACTACGAATTAGAAAACCAGAAAAGGTAAAAATTGTACAATGTCTGTACGCCAAAATGGAGGTAAATAAATAAGAAGTCAAAAAGGAAGGAACAAACTGCTAATAAGTTGAAGAAAGAATTATCATACCAGACTTTTGTGACAAACTTCATTTTAGGTGGCTCGAAAGGGTATCCATCTGCAATTGAACAGAAGCCAATAATGAGGATAGGAGAGCTGAACACAAGCACCTTATCTCCATGTTTCCAAATAGCCCAGCTAAATCATCCATCTATGAATACTTTTTGTTTAGGAACTATCCAGGCAAGGATATTCTGATTGTATATATGCAATCCGACACATAACAAATGAAAAGTAGATACATTGTTCGGGTTTGAAACCATAATGATTGATACATGTCATTATCTCTGTCAACTTTCTGTCTGTGTCCAACAAAATAGAGAGCTTACCTTTGTCCATTATTTCTTTAATCAATACTAAGAGTTAATTCATGAAAATCCCCCCTGCGGCATTTGAAACTACATCAAAACCCCATGTGCTATGCAAATATCAATACGCCTTGCGCATTTTCGAAATCTGTAAATTAATGAAAATTGGTGAAATTAACGACAGCTGTAAGCCACGCGTCAGAATTGTGGATTGAATGATTAACTTTCTACCTCAATTTGTATCAAATTACCCCAAATACCCCTTACACTTTGTCTCTTTTATACTTTCCTTCTTTCCACCAATGTCTGCAGTCCACCGCTTGGCAATTAACCTCTTTTAACTTTTCTCGTTTCCATCTAATCATCTACCAGACTACCACTACTAGCATCATGTATGTTCTCTCTCTCCACTATCACCATCAACAGAAGCTCCCACAATCAAATGAGAATTAGAACTCAACTCTAAGCCAATTTTTATCTTGAAAACCAACAAACATCTACATGAACGCAAATGGGTTTGCCAAAGTAAGCTGTAAAAGAGGGAGGGGTTAGAGATTGGTGGCTGAAACCTACAGATAATGGAAGGGATTTGCGACTAGGGTTTGAAACTTTGAATTGGTCACTGAAAATATGAACTTAAAGGCTTCGAAGGGTTGCAACCAAGCCGACGATTGAGAGGGAAAAATTAAGGTCTGATAGCCAAATTCTGGTTATGAAAACTGGGTAGCAGAGGTGATTAATGCAGACTGGGGATATCCATTTGAAATTGCTTCAGCTTCCATGGATCTTTTCAGCTTCACAGTATAGAATCATTTAGGAAAGGTGAACTTTATTTTAGTTTTTTGGCTCCAGTGGCGATGGGGTGGTCTTGGTGATTATTAATGAAATAAAAGAGGAAGAAGATGAATGGAAACCAAATGTCGATAAGAAAAGTATGGTTTTTGGCTCCAGTGTCGGAGGAAATATGAAGAGCTAACGGGATGCTTACTGACTGAACGAACTTTGGCAAAAGGAAATTAAAGGGGCGGAAAAAATTAAAATTGGAAAGAAAATCAAAACATGAAACTTTGGGCCTTTGAATTGAAATTTAACATCAAAATAAAAGGAATGATAATATTAAAGTAAGGGGGAAAAGAAAGAAGAAAGAAAGAGCCTGAAGGGGTGGAAATGGCAAACTTTCGCATATCTGTCAGTGTGGGCGCGTATCATCCAATTTACATATTTCGGAAAAGGACAAGGTGGTACTTAGATATTTGCACAGCAAAAGGGGGTTTGCATGTAGTTTCGGATGCCACAAGATGGTTTTCGTGAGGATAGGAGAGCTGAACACAAGCATCTTATTTCCATATTTCAAAATGGCCAAGCTAAATCTTCTATCTACGAATACTTTTCATTTAAGTACTATCCAGGAAAGGATAATCAGATTAACAATAAGCAATTTGACAAATGCGAATGCAAAATTAGATACATAGTTCGAGTTTGAAAGCGTAATGATTGATACACGTCCATTATCTCTGCCAACTTTCCGCATATGTCCGACAAAATAGAGAGCTTACCTATGTCCATTGTTTCTGTATTTAATACTAATGGTTTGCCAATTATCCTTTCAGAATGTAGGTAACAGGATTCTATCCAATCTCTGAGGAAAAAAAGGGAATCTTTCTCCGGATTTGCAAAAGCTTCCACAAATTATCATCTTACAACGCTCACCACCCACAAAAATGTCAACGATCAGCTAACACAAAAATTGTCACACTAGCCCTTGTTTCTTAATTAATACTGATGGTCTGACAATTATCTTACCAGATTGTAGGTGCCAGGATTCTAGCCAATCTCTGAGGGGGAAAAAAAAAGGAACCTTTCTCTAGAAATTGCATAAGCTTCCACACATAATCAACTTACTACACAAAGGACAAGCAGTAACTACCACTGCTAAGGAAGAACACCAACCAGCCCCCAACTCATAAAAATCCAATCTTTTCTCCTTTCCTCTCCTCTTCATACTATTTTCAGGTGTAAAAGATCTAAACTTCACTACAGCATGTGATATTGGAAGCCACATTCCTCATAGAAGATGTCCACAATCTTCCAACAAGCTTACCGAGCTGAGCCACTCAATTTTAATTTTTTTTTGAACAATGATCACTCTGATTCTAACACACCAGCAAAACAAGATAAAGATTTTACAGAATTTAATCTCAACCGCTAACTGAAAAAAAAACCCTTTAAAACCCAAAATTCAGTTCCAATTAAAGAATCACATTAAAATAAAAAAATCAAAATAAGTTAAGAATAATTCAATACATTTGAAGAAAGAGTACCCGTGAGAATGATGTCAATCTTGAAAGTGCCACCTTCATAAGGAGTACCAAGAGGGCCCGGAATAGTGCCGACCAAGTGAGTGAGTGAGTCGGATTTCAGGGCGATGTGTATGCCGGAAACCTCAACGTCTTTGTTGCATTCACGAAGCTCTTTATGCACCCGACTCAAGTCCATCTTTTTTTGTTTCTTCCCACTGAATTTTGAGCCCTGCCACTTTATTTTTGCTCTATTTATTCCTTTGAAACTGCCTTATTCTTCTTCTTCAGAGTCCTGGTTGGTGTGAGACTTGTTTTACCTTTTGGGACGGGGTTGGCGGTGAGGTGAACCGAGTCAGGGGGGCCGAATGACAATTTTAATTAGTTTTTGGCAGACAATTATTCCATTGGCTGATTTTTTTAGGCTCCCGATTTCATTCCTTGCGTGTATATAAGGCTTATTCTTCTTCTTCTTCTTCTTTTTTTTTTTTGTTTTTTATATTAAAAAAATATTTTTTATTACTTTTTAACACACAAGTTTACGAATTTTCCATATTTAGGCATCAAAAACTTAGAACTAATTTCGCTCTCCTCTATTTTTTTTATTGTTAAAAATATTATTAAAAATCTCGTCAACAACTGTACCCAATATTTTTTCTTACTTGCTTAAAGTTGCATCAGATTTGTTTCTTTTACGAAATTCAATAAATTATTACTCCCTCCATTCCAAAATAAGTGTCGTTTTAGCAAAATGAAGGAATTCCAAAATAAGTGTCGTTTTCACATTTCAATGCACTTTTTGTCAAAAGTTTCCAAAATTACCCTTAAAAGAGTTGATGCTATTGGTGGACAATTTTATAACAGGGTTGGTTGAGGATATTCAAGTAATTTTATTACCCTATTTAAGAGTTTCTTAAACTATGTGCAAAGTGTAGGATAACACTTATTTTGGAATGGAGGGAGTATCATTTTTATCGTTTTGAATTCTTGGTTCAACTTTTTTTCAAAAGGTCTTAGAAAGAGTTCTAGAAAATAGTACAAAACGCAATTACCAAAGATGTTATGCTCAGGCATTTGGTCGTTGTTTCATAAGTGCTGCAAACCTAGATGGCAGATGGTAACTAGGAGTATAATTACTTCAATACTTCCCCTGACCCTAGCATAATTTTGAAATGAATGTAATCTAATTTTTGCTTTATAAATAGGATAGCAAAGAGTACTTAGGATCACGCTCTTGAAGAAGAAAACAAGAAAAAGAATCATCCCACGAAACGGGTCAGTAGAGTACAAGATGATGATGAGATCATAATGACTTGTTGTAAAATTGTATATGTGGATATCGTAGATATCACTATCAGATTGTGCTCCGAGTAAGATGCAATAATAATATCATTCCAAGAGAAAAATTATAATATCCAAAGTAGTATTAATTATTAAATAAGGATTAAGGGGTACACCAAGGAGACATTGAACCAAAAAATTCCCTCTTCTTTTCTACAGGCAAGGGAGTGCAATCCGGCAATGGTTACTATGAACATCAATCTGGGAGCAAACATCTATCATCCACCAGTAGCAACATTCCTAATCATGAGACAGCCACATTTTGCCTCAACGACAATGAATCTGCACAAAAAAAAAAAAAGAGAGCGAGCTTAAAAACAACTGAAGTGTGAAAAATTAACGAGTAATTGCATGAAACCGTCAGGACATTCTAGCCTTGCACCTCAAGGAATGAAGAATAGGAGAAGAGAAAGGGATCAAATTGGGTTTCCACCAAAATTATAATGCAATATTGCAATACATGGAGCAAGAAAAGAATATTATGATATGGTGAATCTACAAGAAACAAAGCAGCAAGCCAAAGCAGTCATTGCCAACCACCTTCTCAAGATTCCATTTGCTTGCTTTTCTTGCAAACTTTACATGTTGTCAATAATCTCTTAAGCATGAATGGTTATCCATTTGACACTAGTCATCATGAAGGTCCTATACAGGATCCAAGAAGCAAAATATTCCAAACAAACAGGATCCACAGAGCCAGAAACGCACTTGACGGAACTTAGAAATTAACTTTGTTAACATTGAAGCCTTTATGCTACAATTTCGTATTGAGTATTTGTATCATATCTCGCCATCATATCCTACTGAAATGATTAGATATTGTCATTTAAAACTGAAATGAATAATTTCTGCACATTTCACCATCCTTCTCAATAACTTTTATCTATGCCTTTCTAGGTTTCCCTTTAATTTAAATACCGTTCTCCCACACAAACTGCAGAACTTGAGTCTTTGCCAGCACGGACTTCAACTAATTGCTAACAGGTACAATGTTTGCAATCAACTACTACCAGGGAATGATTCTGAATGGGTGGAATTCTGACAAGATGGTGTCCTATTAAACATCAATAAGTTTTTATTATTAAGCTACACCAAAACTCTTGTATTAGAGGAAATAATTTGGTCAATCCCAACTTTCTACAAAAGTAAGAATCCTTCCAAAGCCTAGGGACAGTAACCATAACGATGTAAAAAACTGATGAACACGGCCACGAGAAAAGTGATCCATACATTTACAACATCAACCACTTTAAAAGCAATCTGGGCATACTGGCCGGACTGCTTTATAATCTGTTGATTTTTCAAAGAATGGTCTTTTCTGCAATATAGCATCACTTCATACAGACCAAGGATTTTATCACCACAACGCTCTGGTATTAAAAATGCTCTTAGATTTACTCTCTAACCAAACCAACAATGAGGTTTCTAAACTGCATAACTAAAATTATGATAAGATCTAAAACCTCTATATTAAATCATCAACATGTGGATGAAGTTTTCTCTATATCACAAAGTGTAAGCTAATCAAACAAACTACATAAAGAATACAAATTGCATTTCCAATTTCATCCAAAAAAAAAAAAAAAGAAAAGAAAAAAGGTTTGATGCCACTGCCACTAACCTCAGTCTTTGGTGATATACTCATCCTTCCTCCCCTCAAAACCTGCCCTCAGGAGCTTCTTCTCCCTTTTGGCAATCTTCCTCATCTTTTTATCATGAATCCTTCCTTCTATATTCTCCTTCCTCTTCTGCTGCCTCTCATCCTTGGACTTCTTCTGGGTCTCCACTCGGTCCTTCCACTTCTCTGCATTCTTCTCCTTTCTTTTCTTGTCCTTCTTCATACTCTCCCTCAACAACTTTGGGTTATCATGGACCTTCACTCCCATTGCTCTTTTCTCAGCTGCCTTCCATGATTCCCTTACAGCTACATTCGGGTTTTCCCTCTTCACCTCTGCCAACCTCTTTGCTCTTTCTAATTCCTTCTCTTTCGATAACTTCTTCTTCTTCTTTTTCTTACCTTCCAACTCATCATCCCCTAACTTAACCTTCCCATACTCTATTATCTCTTCGCCTTCGCTTGCCCCTGAGGCCGCATCCTTCCCGCTACTGCCTTCACCATCCCTCTTCCTCTTCAAATCTTTCTTACCCTTATTATCACCAACCTCTTTCCCCTTCCTATTACTCCTATTGCTACCATCATCACCTCCGCCGCTGCCCCGATTCCCTCGTAAGGATTCAATCTTCTTCCTCAACCTCTGGCGCAACTCTTCATAAGTAACAGTATTCCGAGCAGCATTTTCACTCCCAGTACCATCCTCTTTATTATTCTGATTCTCCTCCAAATCAATCGACCTGGCAACATCTTCCCCAGAAGTCGGTGCTTCCGTCTTAGCATTACTCTCAAGGGATTGCTTGAGGACCTCAAGGGTAGAGGACTGAGCGATTTTCTCCGGGTCAAGACGGTACCGGCGGAGCAGCTTCCGATTGGCCCTCGATTGTTTCTTCGCCGCAGCTTTTGCAGCCTTAGAAAGGCCTTGGTAGTAAGCTCTGGGGTTGTCCGATGCGTCGTCGTTCGGTGGGAGGTAGAACCGGGCGGGGATGAGTTCAACTAGCTTGTCGAAGAAGACACCGTGAGAGTGAATAAGGGCTTTTAATTCATCAGGATACTCCGCCGCGGTCTCCGACGGGCCGGTGGTCTTCTGCTTCTTCTTCTTCATAATTTTATCACTGTGTGAGTGCGTTTTCTGTTAGGGTTTTTCCTGGGTTTATATTGGTTGCCGCCGGGAGTGATGGTATCTGAGGTTTTTTGGTTAAATATGAAAGGAAAGGAGATTTTATTATGTAAATTGCATCCGCGCCCTCCATGTTTTTTGAAATTATCAAATGAAGATTTACATTTTACAAACATTAATATTGGTTGACTATTGTTCTCTCTTTGACTAATGAATCTCCATCTTACTCCAATTAACTCCTTAATCGTGATAAATTCTAAGACTACTTACATTTGGACGACGGTAGCACTATAGTTAAGATCCCAGGTCAATTTTCAAAATTGTTAAAATCACGTTGCATCAAGTAGATTTTTTTAGTTTAGTTTTCGGTGAATCTATTTTTCTTCGTAGTATAAACTATATATTTACTTATTTCGTAACTATAGGGAACTGAGTAAAAAAGTACTCCCTCCGTCCCATAATTATTGTCCAGTTTGGGTTTTCATTTTTAGTTCAAATTGTACTAAAAGTGAAATCTTAAATTGGATTATAATTTTAGGACAGAGGGAGTACCGGTAAGAGAAACAAATCTCTAAACTTTGGAGCTTAGTGTTTTGAGTTATTTGAAGTACACTAAGTTTACACATTTAGAGCTTTCATTTCATTATACTCTTTCATTTAAACCCTAAGTACTCATTTCTGTTTTCCCAACTGTATTTTAGAAGAGCTCATATTGAATTATTCTGATGCAAAGCAGCAAAGACAAAGGGGCTTGACCACTTCTTATTGATGGCAGAGTTTCTTATAATTTGTCCAGAACAGGTTAACATTCTGTACAACTAAGCCAGTTTCACAAATTCGAATTCTAGTCCGCCGTTGTGAAATGGTTAAAAGCAGCCCTGACGATTTTACATCAAGCAAAAACTACATGATCTCGACAACAGCACGCCCAACAATGCTTCCTTTATCAAGGTCTTTGTATGCCTGGTCAGCCTCTTCGAATTTGCATTTTCTTGAGACAGCTGCTTTAAGATTGAAGATGCCGCTTTCAGCTAGTTTAATCAACTTGGGCAAATCTTGCCTTGCCCGACCCCCATAAGATCCAACAACCTTTATCTGCACCATGACAATACAGGAAAAGCTGAGATGACAGGGAAGGGAGATGTATCACAACCAGATATCGATCCACCAAAGAAAACCAAGGAAGAAATGGTATCACTAAAGACAGAAAATGTGGAAGAGGAGTAAACTTGTTTCTGATATGCAGAACCTGAATATGTAATAAAAAAAGGAGACATGCAGATCCTAGGACAGAAATCACAGACCTGACGACGAACCAGATGGTTTATGTCAACCTCGCCTTTTGCTCCAGAAAGTGTAAGACCTATCATAACAGCTTTTCCTCCATCTCGAACACTCTGAACACATTGGTTAAATGTCTGAGGTCTGCCCAAGGCTTCTACGGCAACATCCACCCCCATCCCTCCAGTAAGTTCCTGTGAAAAGTTCAAAACTAATCCAATAACCAGTGGACCTTTTAACTATAGAAACTATAACAAGCATTAACAAAATCACATTTACAAACACAGTCTTTAATTTGACACCACGGTTAAATCTTACACAGACTACATTCTAACACAATAATAAACAGAACTTTATCCATGCAGTACACAAAAGAAAGACTCTTCAGCAATGATACCTTGCATCTGCACCTAAGATGTTCTAGCTTAAACCATTTTTTCCTTGCATCAATTTGCAAGGTAACTCAATCTTACTCTTCGGATAGGATTCAGTGTAGAACCATGACAAGAACATATGGTCATATTATGACAGAAGTATTACTGATAGGTATTCGTTATGCAAGCGTCAATTGTCATTACAAATCTATAAAAGGTTAAGGCTTGACTATTGGTGTATCTTTGTGGAGAGATTAAATACTTATCGTCAAACTATGACAGAAGAGAAACTGTGATTACTTTAATTGTTTTGGCAACATCCACATTGCGCGCATTAATGGTGTGAGTGGCTCCAAGTGTTAATGCTTTCTGCAACTTATCATCTTGGACATCCACAGCAATAATCTCAGATGCCCCAAATGCTCGTGCTATCTGCAAACAACTGTGCAATTTTATCCTAGTCAGAAGGACAGATATTGAAGCAAAAATCAACAGAAATTATTCTAATCCCTCGTGTAAATGAGAAAGCCATTTATCATCATTCTCCTAATGTAAGAAGCATCTTTATACCCAATTTTCACTAGTTTCTATAAACAGATGTCTTTAGTGATGTTAATAACTAGTAACCACCCCCTTACACACACCTGCAAAAACCTCTAATTATAATAACTAAGCCCACCGTTAAAAGAAAAGATTACTACCAAAAAATTTTGCGAGTAGAAATGCTCAAGCCAAGAAGGCAAGATTTGCCTGGGAGTATGAAGTTTATACCTTGAGCCAACACCACCTATGCCAATCACAGCAATGGCATCACCAGGACGCACCTGCGCAGCATGTGCCATTGCTCCATAGGCAGTAAAAACTGCACACCCTAGAATAGCAGACTCTGTGTATGGTAATGAATTAGGTAAAACAGCCAATCCATGTGCTGGAACAACACAGTACTCAGCAAGACCTCCCATACTGTACATGTATACTGGTTTATCTGCAAAAGCAACATGGAAATAAAGTTTCTAAAGCCATCCATAGCAACAAAATATTCTAATAAAGAATTTTTAAAAACTATTCCAGAAAGCCAAACAGTGAAATCCCATCAGCAACGGCCATTTGTGAATGTAAATGTTTGATATGAGGGTGCAAATGTATCACAGAGAAAGGGAGGGGAAGTTATGGTTGTGTGCAGTAGATGAAATCATGATGCAGAATATCATCATATTAGATAGCTACAGAGTCAAAATGGTCTTTTGAGTTTTCATAGACTTTCAGAAAAGATTTCCAAGTGCACAGATGATTGAATATCTTATTGTTTCCGCAGAACAAAACTGTATGCTGTTTTTATTGCTCAAGCAATACACTGTTGATCAAGCAATAAGCAATAGTGTATGCTGTTCTTAATGTACTATAATGGATCTTCACAAATATACGCTAATGGATCTCTAAGTGAATAAATCAATACAATTTGTAAACTGAAAGAAAATAATATTCACATTAGTTAAAGATGATAAAACAACTGAGGTCAGTTTATAACGTGTTATAGGGCAGTGTGTTGAATGAAAAGCAATACAGGAGATCACTGTTCTTTGGGGTTGCAGTACCAGTTTCAGTTTAGAACAATAGGTAAGCCCGTGGAACAAAACTTTGTTTCCGAGAAATGAACAGATCACACGCTCAATGGGCGAGTAAAGGAGAAGATTTTAATGTCACAAACAACTATAAGGGCTCACCATTACTACGGAGAAACAGACGAGTTTCACCATCATAAAGAGTTCCTTTTGCTCGATTATATGCAAAGAATGACTCACACAAATCATCTTGACCCTGTTGCGTAAAAAAAACTGCCATCAGAACCTTTTTTACTTTGTCTAATAAATCATAAACTACATATTGAACAGTAGAACATCAAAGACCAAACAAATGGATTATAACGGCAACCAACCTTAGAGCAAAAGAAACAACTTCCACAAGGCATTATAAAAGCTCCAATAACTTGTGCGCCGATGGGAAATCTAAACAACTCCAAAAAAAATAATTGAAGAAGCTTGCATTTGTCGATAATAACATTTCAGAAATGGAAATTGAAAAGAATTTCAAACCTTTCAATGATTTTTGAGTCAGTGAGAGCACCATGTTCAACGACCTCACCAGTAATCTCATGCCCCACAACACACGGGCTTGAAAACGGAAGTTCACCTTTTATTACGTGCAAATCTGAGTGACATACTCCACAGGCTGCACCAATGAAAGACAAGTAAACAAACTGACAAAATTCATACATAAATATTTGACAAGTTACCATTAAAACATAACTAGAAGTATAACAATCATCAGCTGCTTCTTGAGTTCAACTTTTGCCATATGACATGCACGTCAGGGCATCTCCTAGTAATTTGTGGCATTCTCTATGCTAGAGAACTTTAATTTGCTATAAAAATATGCAGGATTACATAATGATGACAAAGAGTACGTAATACTGCAGATCTAGAGGATCAAATTTCTTACTTGCACTGAAACTTCTATATCATTGAAGTTGTGTTTCCCATTAGTCGTTGAGCTAAGATGGAATCACTAGACTATTTCTTATCAAGTAATAAATATATTGGACAGATGACATCAAAGGTAGAAAGGAATAAATTACCCTTGGTCTTGATAAGGATTTCATTAGCTTTTGGACGGGGCATGTGAAAATCTTCAAAAGTGAGGGGTTTGTTGGGTTCCCAAAACACTGCACCACGCATGTACGAAGGCCCCCCATGGAGCGGAGGTAATGATGTGTCAGATGGCCCTGGATTGTCATGACTTGAAACATTCAGAAGGGGAGTAGTAGACACAAATGGCCTTCTAAAGTAGATGGAAGGCACATTATCACTAGTTTCGTTGTAGCAACTGCTGTAGGAAGAATTGCAGGCTGCTGAAAAAGAATTCCATGACAATTTCTGAGCGTTGGCAATTACTCTTCGTATTGACTGAGTGCTACGGTATAGCGCCATATTCTGGAATTGGAATGATAAAAACCAGTTCAAATAATCAGTACAGTAAACAGCATTTCAAGGAGTGTTTCTGGAAACAGTGAAATATGAAGCCCTCAAATCGCAAAGTAAAGATTACAACTTGAAGGAACAAGAAACATGAGAGGGAAACATTAACATAAGGTCTACCAAATAAAACGTTGTAACTATCTGTCCAAACACTTGAGCTTATAAGAACATCGTAAATGAAAGTTTGACACATGATACACAAGTGCAACTAGTCCAATTACACATTCAAAGATAAGATAAACTAAGGAAAAAGGTGAAACCCCCAATCTCCTCTATAAAAATACGAGGAAACTTCAAAATATCCCTTAGTCATCTCAAATATAAAGAGCTATAACTGCATTCAAGTCAGAGCCAGCCACGAAAACTAGGGAAGGATATAAAATGTAAGGGTTGAAAGATTGGAAAAAACAACTTTCTTTTCCTTTCTGTGATAAGACTTCACCAACAATCACAATCTATCAAAAGCTTTCAAGTGCAAAAGATATACCAGAACCCTCATCAAGTAAATTGACCCCAAAATTTGTGACCTTCCTGGCCAGACTTTAAAGCTGACAAAACTTACTTCAGGAAAATCAAGGAAACGATCATATTCTAAAACTAACTTCAAGAACTGACTGAAGAAGCCAATTCCAATTCAGGGTAGGGGATCAATCGTATTGATAAAGACAGTACTTCCTACAGTTGATCACTCAATAAACTTGAAACGCTACATAATCAAATTCAATCATATTTCACACAGTTACATACATTTAGCTCCTCAAGCAAAATTCCCACCGCTTAGATGATGAGTTTCAGCAGATAAAAAAGACAAGTCAACCCAACATCTATCAGCTAGTGAACTGTCGGTTTCCGGAAACAAAAATGAAAAACAACAAAAATATGTAATAGAGGGATGAATCCAAAAACAATCAAAATCTTACGGGAAAAAGAGGAGATATCCAGCCAAGAAGAAAGATCCCTCAGCCCAGCTCTGATGAGTAAGAAGTGAAAGTGAGGATCTTTTTTGTTTAAAATGGAGTGGGTGGGATTAATATAATCAACAAATTGCTCCAACCCATTAGGAATTACTATAATTTAATCAATGTAATGGATAAGCACTGACTCGTTTATGAGATTTTAGTACCATCTGGGAGGTCTGATTTGGTAAAAGTGTATATCCTCTTTAGTTCTAATCTGCCGGTCAAGGTACGAGGTTCTTTTAAAATGCATGTAATAATTTGTCAATAGGCCCAAATTGTTTGTTGCTAATAATAAGTTTAAGGTTCAGTACTAAGTTAAGTTCATACGATGTAATTCCTTGAAATATTCAAAATTTTAGCATAAAATGAAAATTGTTGCATTTGATTTGAGTCGAGTCGTATCTTTTGCAACTGTTATTTAACATGCCTGTTAAAATACTCTTTTCATCTCAAAATGACTGAATTTTTATTTCTAATACGGATATAAATCACTATTTTACACTACTCATTTAGTAAGCAAATAAAAAAAATTTTCAGTATCACCACTGCGACACTATGTTGCCCCTGGCTCTCCGGGATTGTCAACCATTCCGGCGGCCGCTTACTTATTTCCGACTACTTTGGATGGGATCCGGCAATGACAATAGTGGTGACTGGTGATGGGTGATGGGTATTGGGAGATACAAGGATACAATGTCTTTTGAGTTTAAAAAAGAATTTACATACTTCAAGCTAATAAAATAAACGGATCTCATACTATTTTAACTAGACACTCACTTTGGAAAATGAGACATATTTCTCAAAGAAAAGTTTTTTTTTTTTTTTGTTCTTAAGAAAAAGGATTCTGTGTACATTCAAATCCTTTTTGACATGATCACGCAGTATTCATAAATATATTCCATATATATAAAATAATCAGTTACTAAAAAGATGTAAAAATTTATCGAGTATGTGCTTAACTATGCAAAGAGACCATGAGAATGTTATCTAACACTTAATGGAACCATTCCTTTCCCAGACATGTGTAGTCTGTAGATCGGTGTTGGATGAAATCCATCTAGAGAGTTAGGTCGATCATTTTGTGAAGGTTTGTTTTGGAGTCGTAACCACGGGAATACACTATTACACGTAAATTCACTTATATTAAGACTTGTAATTCTTTCTTGGAAACGGGGACACTTGGTTTAACAAATTGTAATGTGGACAATTCCAGTTGCTCTAATGAAATTCTTTTCTATCCTTTGCAAGAAATGCTTTAAAAAAAGTTTAATTACGAAAAAAAATGCTTAATAAGTTATATTTTCATAAATGCAAACCGTATATTTGATCGAGAGAAGTATATTTTGATCGTAAAGAAATACTGGAGTTGTCCAATGACCTGGCCAGCTATATACGAAATCATTAAATTTTTCCAGGATAATAGACTTAAAAATTGTGAAGATCAACGGACTTAAATATTGCACAAGACATCACAAATTCGAGACACAACAAAAAGATCATTCGAGAGTGATTAACTCAAGCCAACAAAAATTTGAGTCGAAAATAAATCGAAGACATGTTCAAAGATTATAAGGTGTTTATGATTTGCAACATATGATTTCATTAATCATCCTTTAATAGTTATGAGACAAACAAATTTATGTATTCCAAAGAACATCAAACAAATCAACCAATGCAATAATACATTATGAAATTTGAAAGATGTTAGCTTACAACAATGCAAGAAAAGAAAATCCCATTGAAGGCGTTATTCGTAGATTTATAGAATTTAACAAAATTTTTATACTTCTTTTTCCAAAAATAATTACCTAAAAGTAATTAATATGCCACAACTGTCTTAAAAGAAACAAAATACTCAAAATTTTAATTCTCTGATATGTCGAGAAAAGTAACACTAGGAAAGTTTCAAAAAAGAAAATCTAATTCAAGGATCAAACGAAAAAGTGTAAAATTGAGAACTAGGTCGTCGATTTTATCGTTGACTTTCACTACATCGACAGGTTGATCGACGAAAGTTGGCTGAATTGTCCTCTAATTTTCTATTTTTGGTTTTGACCTCTCATCATTCTAAATTTTTAATACTGACATAAAAGTGTTTAAACGCAGTCATTCTATTCAGGGACGGAACCAGGGGGAGCGAGGGTGGTCTGCCGACCCTGCGGTCGGCAAATTTTTTTAAAAAGTTATCTTATAATTTTAAAAATATTTTCAGAAAAAAATTTATATATGTACTTAACTCCGTAAACATTTGGGGCTGGTTCTGTCACTGATTCTATTGATCATCAAGATCAATATAATGAGTATCATGATTGGTTCCGAATGATTCTTAACACCTCCTTCACAATCACAATTTTTTTAGAAGAAACTATATTTCATTATTAATACCATTTGCTATAACATCATTTGATCTAAAACACTATCAGATTTTCTTGAATTCTAATAAATTATGTCGTGCTTTACATCTCTAACGATAAATTCTTCAATTCTAAATAAGCAAATGACTCCACGGATAACACAAGTACTACTAAGGAAGATAGTACTTAAGTCGGTCCCAAATGTCATGCATTTTCCCATGGTCATTGGCTTTGTTTGGACTTTGGAGGGGGTGAAAGGGCGTGTATTTGGATTTTGGATCATCCTCGCTTGCAACAAAACATCATTAATATAACTAGACAAGTAAAGTCTTTAATGCCAAACTTATTTTTCCAATTTATTCACTTAATGGACCATCGATTATGATAAAAGTCTCAACTCCTATTGTTGTTTTAGTTAGAATAACTCTCGCATTTACAGATATAATATAGCACTAGTTAGCAATGTGAAGCTTTTACTTGGGGAACATAAGAGTCATTAACTACGTCGAGTTATATTGGTGATGGGGCAATAAATAATCTATTATCTTTTGGGCCTTAATCTTGAAAGTCCAAATAACACTCAAGATCCATCTAAAGCCATGTGCACCTATGTGCTTGGAGAATATTCTTATATTCTTTTTTGGATCTATAAAAGAAAGTCCCTTATTCATTTATTGGACACATCATTCTCTCTCTCTACATAGCATCTAATGCTTCCCCTTTCTCTCTCTAAGAGTTCTGACTTTGACATCAAAGTGCTAACTCTGTTTTACAAGGTATTTTAAGAATTATAGGTGTTGTCCCGTGGACTGACCAAGGAATGCACCAGCATTGAGTTTGAACCATCATTAATCAATTAAGTGTGCTTTAGATTGTATTTTAAACGTTAGTGACAAGATTATTACAATCATCTTCATTTTTTATCACCCGTTGATGATTGACTAATGTGATTAACATTTATCAATGAAATTTCGCAATCTATTTTAACCTAAACTAAAAAGTGGATCGATAGTAAAATAATACTCGAAAAATTTATATCATAATTTAACTTATCAGACACGGCCATTTATTGTCACAATATAAAAATAAATACAATATTGCTTGTCACTTAACTTAGGGATGATCCAACAAAAAAATGTTCACGATTACAAGGAGTGAAAATGGAATAGGAGCCGAGCAAACTCATATATGTGTGGATTGGGCGAATCTTTTAGAGGTCCTAAAAAGGCCATATGAAATTGAGGCCCCTCTGAATTCATCATCTGCATAGATGGACGATGGATCAAAGTCGTCATCATCATTGGGTGGATAAACCCCCTTGATAAACGCTCTATCTATCTGTCCTTTTCCTTTCGGTTTCTTCCCTTCATTAGTCATCGCCACCAAAATTTTGAGAACCGACCAAAAAAAAGAGAACAAAATTAATGCACTTTAGCCTCTCTAGAAATGTCAATGAAAAAAAGAGAGCCGCAAAATTGGACAACCTTAGCATATTTGCCAACAAAACACATGGTGGTGGGTCGGAACCGGACAGTTTGGCTTCGACGGCTTTCTCCAAATGTGCACAATCCTGAATTCTATTTTTCCAGATATCCCCTTCTCTAATAAATAATCCTTAGCAATATCTACATCTTGCGGTTGAAGCCATTTTTCTACATTAATTAAATGGAATGATATAAACAAACAAAGGTGATCATCCTCGAGGACCACACCACATGGTAGCCTCTTTACAAGAATTGAGATAAAAATTTGTTATTTTTATGCACGTCAAAATTTATTTTAAAACCGATTATTTAATTCCAGTAACGATACAACATGTAAGAATTAAAAGTTTAAACGATCGCAACATATTGATATTAAGAGTTTTAGCAGTTGGAGGGTGATCTATATTAGATGTTGCCATTAGATTGATATGCTCCAAAAAATGTCAAATGTAGCTTGTGAAATTTAAGTGAAATCTAACCATTAATAATCATCATATCAGCCAGTTACTTTTTAACAGATTAGTTTTATGGATCAAAACTAAGACCCGCATCCTTTTTGACCCAAAGAAACCACAAAACAAAAAAAAAAAAGAAGTCTCTAGAAATTACTACTTCTCTTTCCCTGTGAAGCAATTAATTGATTGTATAATTAAAATAATCACTGCATGTTTAAGCGTAACACGCTGCCTAACGATAAATCAATTAGACCGCACTCCTCATAATGTTTCATGATAACTCTGTCTCTAGCCTTTTCCAGGAAGCATCTTAAGAATGATTTTACTTTATTATATTCTACTCCCTCCATTCTAAAATAAGTGTCGTTTAGCAAAATAGAGAAATTCCAAAATAAGTGTCGTGCTCATATTTCAATGCACTTTTTGTCAAAAGTTTCTAAAATCACCCTAAAAAAAGTTGATGCTATTGGTGGATAATTTTATAATGGGGTTGGTTGAGGATATTCAAGTAATTTTATTACCCTATTTACGAGTTTCTTAAACTATGTGCAAAGTGTAGGACGACACTTATTTTGGAATGGAGGGATTAATTTTTTTTTCCAAGTGAAAGATAGCTCTAACTTTAGGTCAAAGACGGAAACATTTATTGCATACAAATACTTTTGCTTCAATCTACAATAAGAGTTTGTTTTATTAAACCATTGCAATTCGACAAAAAAGTATATATATGTATATGTATTTTTTTTTTTTTTGAATAATGAAAACCAAATTTAAATTTCTGAATCGAGGTCATTATGGAAGAAATATTTATGGACGAAAAAGAGTAGTTCAACAAGTCAAGTAAGGTCGAATCCTCATCAAGGTAGACTTGGTAGTTTGTTGGTACGAAATACATTATCATATATTGACAGAGCTAAACTGCTTACTGAGGACCAATATTCATATTAGCATAAGTCAGTAATGATAAAAATTAAATGAATTTAATACAGTATGTTAAGCAATAAACAAAAAGAAATCTTCAAATTAGGTTCACTTCAAATAAAAAATTAATGCGTTTTAATTTGGCATTATGATCCAACCTCAAGCTCAAAAGGGGTGGTAGCATTTTCTATTTTTCTAGTTTTTCTTTCTTAGTCATAATCTTAAATCCATAAAACTTACAATTTTTCATATTCCCCCTAAAGAAATTATTTACAAAATAATTATCACGAGACAAATCGAATATAATCTTCTGAGTATTTTCAAATTAAATAAATTAGAATTTTGCCCTCACATAACTCTAAAACATTTCTTTCTTCTTCAAAATCAGACAGCAAATTTACCTACTTCTCTTTATTAGAAATTAAAATACCAAACACTCCAAAACTTGCAAATATGCCCATAGACATTAAGGTTGGCGATGGATTTCCCAAGGTTACCTAAATTGACCAAACCAAATTTGTGACTAAAACAAAATCAACAATCCTTTGATTTTGTTATTGCCACTTGTTAAAAATCTTTAACAAGTCATCAAAATCACGTTATATAGCGATTACTACAATCCATTTTGCTAACACAATAATCTTATTTTAATTCAATTTTAACATTCTTACATCACTTAAATATTAGAAAATGATATTTCGTGACAGAATTAAAGGAACAAACAAATGTGATCGGGCCTTTTGATTAATTATTATTATTATTATATAATGTGTATTTGTGTGCTAAATCAAAATTATAAGTTATTAATCAATTTTTGGCTCTGCCTAGTCTAGTAAAATCAGAAGAACATATTCTGATATTCAGACATGGTTTTTCTTTTCCCCCCTTTTAAATAAATCAAAGAATTAAATAATGAAATCTGTTAGGCCCTGAATAAAAAAAACAGCAATACCAAATACGTGCAAATGGTTTGGAAGGCCAACAAGGCTAACTCCAGAATAAAAAGAGGGAGAGAGAAGACGTATGAAGGAGAGAAACGGATAAAAATGCGTGAAACCTCTGAATAACACCAAAAAGAAAAAAAAAAGGAAGAAAGATACAGTTGTGATTCGAATTGATCATTTTTCGTATCTCTATTCTTGATTTTAATGTGAACCCAGGATTTTGTTTTCCCTGATTCTCGAGCTCGAACCAGCTGTTTGGTGAATAACTTCACAACTTGGGAAAGCTTTTACTTTGTGAGTTTCTTGGTTCTTCTGTCTTAATGGTATGAGTAAAGTTTACAGCTTTTTTTTTTCTTTGTTATTTTTCTTGAGTTGGGATTTTTTTTTTTCCTGGTGTCATTGTGTCATCATTCTTCAATTTTAATTTTATTTTTAGTTTTTAGTTTTTCTTATTGATTTTAGATGGTTGAAATATCCATTTTGCAGTTTATAGATAGAACGGTTCTGTTTCTTCCTTCTGTTTGTTTTTTTTTTTACTTCTTTGCGTATTGTCTGCTGTAATAATCAATTCGAGTTTTGTATTTCTATCTTTGTTTACCATTGGAATCGTCACCAAGACTGATCTTTGAAGCTTCGAAAGTTTGTCACTATTCTAATTCTACAGTTTTTCAGAACTGTATTCCATTTGAATGACAATTAAGGAGAGCTGATTTTCAGTTTCTTTTTCAACTTCAAATTTTTAAAGAGGAAAGATAATTTTTTTTTTTTTTTTCTGGGCTGTGCTAGATTGCTTGAAAGTATTTCAGCATAACTTCTTTTTCCCACCTCTTTATGGCATTTGGGTTTGGAAAAGGTGGTTTGATTGCTATGATGTTAAGTAGCATTGCCATGGATAATCTTGGAATTTGTGTTTCTTGTGACCTCTGTGCTCTGCCATCCGGTATCTGTTCCCATGGCTGCTGCTTATCTTGATGATTTGACTTTGTTATCTTTTGATTTTGTTGCAGAGCCAGTTAATATTTTGGACTAATCATGGATGGCATCTTGACTTCACTATGCTGGTTTCCTGATGAGTCGCATTCTGATACCAAGTTTAATTTATTTCCCAACTTTGGGCTACCTGTTCGATTGGTTGAGGGGCTTGTCATTGGAATGAGATTACCTATTTTAGAGTAGAACTGCGACTTACGAAAATGTGTACTTAATCCTCTTAGTTTAGATGAAGGTTAATGTGGACGAATAAGAATGTTGTTACTGGGATTGTGAGCTGGTGATATTGTGGTTATGATCGTGCTATAGTAGTAAGATCGTTGAAGATAGATAGTTCCTAAACTTAGGTTAGCTTATTGGATTAGAAATTAAGGGCCTTTTAAGAACTTCTTGAGGCTTGTTCAATTCAGGGATGGGATTGCCACAGGTTTCTTCTGGGGGGATCGCTGAAGAGGTGACTGCATCCTTCAGTGCATTCACACAAGCTCCACCTTTATTAGCTGGTGTCAGCTGCTGTGATATGGGTGAATTACATATTGGTCATAAGAACAATCATTTGCTTGGGGATTTCTGTTGCTCTTCATCAAGGGAGTTTTCAAACAATGGTGATGTGACCAATGTACACAAAGATGGCCTAGCCAACCCACATAGATTAAGAATAGGTGCAGGGGCCAAGAATTTTGGGACTCATAATGCTGGAAAAGTTGCATACACACCTGTTTCAAGGGTTGTAGGATTTGAATCTAATGGAGTAAGTACCCCTCCAATTGATGTTTTTGATGGGAAAGCAGCTAGCCGTCCAGTTCCTGTTTTTGGGATGACTGATGGCATGGCTGAGGCTAATGGTTTTTGGATTAGGAAACAGTTATTTTCTCCTCTAAATAATTTGCGATTACCAAATGAATTTGATGGCGGAGACATTCGCATGGATACTCCCAGGAGGAAAATCCTGTCAAACAGTGGAGATTCTGGAGTTGAAGTGCAAGACAAGATATCTGGTACGAGTAACTTGGAGAATGTACATAATTTGTTTCTCTCCAGAACTAAATTTCTAGAATTCAACAGCATTCATAATCACAATGGTGGCAAAAGCTCTAGCATGATCACAGATGGTCCTCTTATTGAGGAGGGTACATACCATTCTAATTTACTTCTATCATCTTCCCCTGTGGTAAATTCTTATGGGAAAACAGCTTATAGACAATCTGCTGTCGGAGCTATAGACATAGAGCAAAAAACAAAAGTGCCTCCATCCTTATCTCTTTCACCTCTTGGACGAAAATCTTGCTCTGGCACGAAAACTTTAGTAGAGCATGGGGGTGCATTGGAGTTTGATGAGAGCTCCTTAATGTTAAATGACATACGACAGTCACTTGAAGAGCATATCTCGAGCATGTCATCCTCTAGAACAGGGAAAGATTCTAAGTTGGGATCTGAAACATTTGAAGATGTTGATGTTTTTCAAATGAGCTTGGAGCCATTGACTCCTGAAAGTGTATCTTGTACTCGGGGAAACTTGGCAGTTGACTCAACCTGTGGAATCCAATGTGCCAAATTAGGTAGAAGTCTCAGCGGACTCTCTGTTAGGAGATCCTTAGTTGGTTCATTCGAGGAGTCTCTTTTATCTGGCCGTTTAGCATCAGGGATAGTGAATCAGGTAAATGTTGTGTTAAGTCTCTGCAAGTTTTGTATTCTTTGTATCCTCCTTGATTACTAGTTATGGTTATTGCATGTTTTCTCTATGTTTTCTGTTCTACTTTGTAAACACAGCTTCATTTTCTGTGCAGAAAATTGATGGTTTCCTTGCAGTTCTTAGTATTACTGGAGGAAGCTTCTCACCAAAACCACAGAAACTTCCATTTTCCGTGACAAGTGTGGATGGTGAAAACTATTTGCTTTATTATTCTTCAATAGATATTGGAGGACAATCATTGTGTAACAAATATAAAGGCCCACAATTGAAGAGGAGCCTTAGCAGCAATGGTTCCCAAACTGAGAATGGCCGCTTACGTGTTCCCATGAAAGGGCGTATTCAACTGGTAATCTATCCGTTTTTCACCTCTCCAACTTATACTTTATTACACGGTAGTAGGTGGCCTCCAATTGCCTTAACAAACTTTTCTGCATGTCATATTTGTTCATCAACTGGATAACTGATTTCCTTTTTCTTGCTGTAGAATGTTTAGTTAGTTTTATACCCTTGTATGCGATGTTGTTTGGGGAAAGAACTAATAGCACTAATCGTTATCAATAGATTATGCTCGAGTGACCAGAAACATTTGAGGGGAATGTTGCGCGATTTACAGGCATTCTCTGTTCAATGAACAGTTAGTATACTGACAGCAGTTCTGACACCTGCTTCAATTACCCAAGTCTGCATTGTGCCGATGTTGAACCAAAGATTCACCAAATAAGCTGCATCAAATGACTTTAAAAGTTACAACTTACTTTTTCTTACTATGTGGGGTCGGTTAGATGGCTCATAGAATATAATCAATCTCCCAGGGCGATCTGTTCATTTAGATTCATAATCAATCAAGTCGTCCTTAATAGTTTCTTCCAATTCCCAGGTCTTCATCTCCCCTTCTGATTTATGTTAATGAGGCCATTTCAAGGACTTTAGAAATGACAAATAAATTTGTGTCATAATCTGTTCTGCTAGATTCTTCTTTTTCTGCAAATGAGATGGGTGTCAACCAAAATCTTGGGTTCCATGGCTACAGAAGAATGTGCTACTCTTGTGATGTACTTTTGTGCACTGAATGACCCTGCTAGGTTACAGTATAAGAATCTCGCAGATGTTTCCTCTTTGTTAATTGTCTTCACTAAGTATAGTTCCGGTCGCAGTCGTTAAAGAGCTGTTTAGTTTGGATGGTATTTTGCTTTGATTGGATAGATTTTGAAGGTCTACACGGGTGAACACTGTTTGATTTCATCTACGTAAACCTACTCCATGCATGATACCTTAGATAATTGCTGTTATTTACCACCTATGCTGGGAGGATCCTTGTATTATTTGCTTATTCACGTAAAAAGAGTACTCTTATGAAATGCTCAAGTTTACACCTGAAAAAAGGAATAAAAAATTAATTGCTGTCACGCAGATGGTTTGTATGCGTGGTTCTCTCTCCCTTCACTAAGACATGGTAGAGCTGAAATTTTGGCACCTATTATCTTGCATGAGTACTTTTGAAGGTCGGCATCGAATAGATTTTGAAGGTCTACCTGGGTGAACTCTGTTTGATTTCATCTACGTAAACCTACTCCATGCATGATACCTTAGATAATTGCTGTTATTTACCACCTATGCTGCGAGGATGCTTGCATTATTTGCTTATTCGCATAAAGTGAATACTCTTACGAAATGCTCAAGTTTACACCTGAAAAAAGGAGTAAAAAATTTATTGCTGTCACTCAGATGGTTTGTATGCGTGGTTCTCTCTCCCGTCACTGAGACATGGTAGAGCTGAAATTTTGGCACCTATAATCTTGCTTGAGTAGTTTTGGCATATTTGGATTGCATATCTGATAATTGATTTTCTCATTTCAGGTATTGAGCAATCCCGAAAGAACACCGGTTCATACATTTCTCTGTAACTATGATTTAAGTGACATGCCTTCGGGCACCAAGGTATTCATAACTTGGGCGATATATTATTGTTTAATGCCATATTCCTTTTGTTCTAGAATCAAGAATCTGCTTCCTGCCTGCTCCTTATTCAGTAGCTATATTGAATTTCATTGCTCTTCTCGTTGGAAGGATAATTTAATCGATTTACTTGTTACCTACTTAATATAATGTATATACCAGGATAGTTAAGGCTTATTCCAAAAGAGAACTTTTTCCCTCGAAGCAGAAACTAGTATGTGGCAAGCAGAATGGATTGATAGAGAGCTTGGCCTATGGTGATAATTAAGCTTAGCTTCTAGCTATAGAGTGAATAGGATTAATATGCGCAATCACGATTTTTTCACCACTAATTAACTGTAAAGTGTGTTTAATATTCATCCTTTTCCATTTACCTGTTAGGGATGCCACAACTAGATAGTGTAGTCAATCATGATAGTTAAAGCCTGAAGTAAGTAATACCGCACTGGCTTCATTCCATGGCGCAAAATCCAATGTAGAATTCCTTTTAAGCGTTTATCGTAGTCGTTTTAGTAGCCAATGATTAATTAGTGGGTTCACACTTATTTTGATGAATAGACCTCACATGCTAACCAGTTTCATGCAATTTATTCAATAACAATATAGTTGTCCTAGTCCTGAGGAAGGGGAAAGCAAAAGAATATAAGTGCATGGTGAATGCTTAATTCAGATTAGCTTGACTCTTGTTGTGCATCTGTCTTTTCACTTTCTTCAATAGTTTGCATTTCTAGTGTTTGTTACAAGTTCTTTTAATATTTATTAAACATTCCAGACATTTCTCCGGCAAAAGGCCACTTTAGCTCTCGACAGAGGCAGAAATTCTGACTCAAAAAAGGGGAGCAAGCCAACTTCGAACCTAAAAAACTTGGATTCTTTGCCTCGCGAAGGTGGGCTCTTAAATCCTGATAGTTTTGATCCTGTTCAAGGGCTAGATACTAATCAAAATAAGAGAAGTGGCGACATGGAGAACGTAGCTACTGTAACTTCTGCCCTTACTGAAAGCACATACTCTAATTGCAATTCAAAAGTCAATGAAAGCAATGCCTGTGCTGGTGTTTTACGTTATGCTCTTCATGCGAGATTTATGTGTCCGCATCCAAAAAAGCACTCAAAAAGCTTTCAGAGGTGCAAGTCTGATACTTCAGCTGCGCCAGGCAGAAAAAGAACGGATCTGGAAGTCGATAGACGTTTTTACTTGTATAGTGACTTGAGAGTGGTGTTTCCCCAACGCCAAACAGATGCTGATGAGGGAAAGGTACGTGCTAAAAACTTGGTTTATTCTGGTGTACTTGCATCAATTGGTGTTTCTGTTTGGAGTTAGATAACAGATCCAACAAGTACTTCATTCAAGTTCAAGTAATTCTATAAAAGAAATAGGGTCTATTATGGTTTATGATAATCTTTAAGTACATTGATGCTTTGTAAGACTTCAAGAGAACGTACCTTTAATCAAATATAGAAAGTCCTATCGGGAAAAGTGGAAATTGAATGCAGTAGTGCTTATCTATATGTTTGCGTGTAATCATAGGAACCTTCTTTTAGGAGCTGGGGGCTCTCAAATTAAGCTAATAGCTGCGAACAGGAGATATGCTGAATTCTTTTTCCTTAAAAATTCAAGATGAAGTTTTAACTAATGAAACAAGGAAAATCAAGGGGGTAGCGATATACTTTTTGGTGTTGAGATTGGCTATGTTCAGGTGCATCTTACTTTGTACCAGTGTGGAATGTACACACTTTTTTCCCCGTCCGAGAACTCATCTCAAATGTTAGGCTTTTTCATAATTTATGCAAGAATGTCGGCATGCTTCAATCTGTCAATGAAGTTTTTAAATTGCTTCTGGCACCTGAGGTTGAAAGAGTATTAAAAGGTTCTTGTGTTTGGATATTGCAGTTACAAGTGGAATATCATTATCCTTCAGATCCGAAGTACTTTGACCTTGATAACTGAAAGGTTCTGCTGTTCAGTCACCCGCTGGATGTAGCATGCTGTACAGTCCTGCACGTGTGTCTACTAGTCCAACTTATGGACATGGCAAACTGCCCATGCTACCTGTAAATTTATTTGAATAAATCATCTAGGCTAGGGAAAACTGTAAATGCTGTAAATAAACTCTCTCTCTCTCTCTCTCTTTTTTTTTTTTTTCAAAAATAAGGTTATTCAAAAAAAAAAAAAACATTTCGTCATGTTTATATGTTTTCAAATCCTATTTTCGGGTACACCATAAAGAAATCAAATCTTTCATGCAGGTCATGTAGTTTATTGTATCAACTTTAATGCATACTTGTTAGCAGTTTTGTCAAATCAAATGCTACTGTTGGTCAACAGCATTTTGCTGATTATGCTTGATAATCTGTTGTTGAAACTCACAATTGCTTGATGGGATAGTAAGGCACAAAGATCAATCCTTCTTCGGGCGCCAGCCTTTTTTATTCTCTTTCAAGATTCAAGCTTTTTGGAGTCACTTTTTTTTTTTTTTAAAAAAAAACTAAATTAAATTATTGAAGCTTTAGTGAAAAATTTATTGAAGCTTTAGGCTTTACCTAAGAGGGCTCATACCTGCTGCATCATATCATTCAAAATGATAATGTAAAGACATAATTATAATTACTCCGTTGGCCCTCCAAAGGAGTATTATACAAAATGATAAGATAGTAAATAAGTAAGAAAAACGTCCTCCTCCCTCCTTTCTTTATTAGTGCTCAGCTTGAAATTTCTTTTGGGTACAGAAATAAGTAGGCTTGAGCCTAGATTAAGATAGTATTTCCTTCAAACTAATGGCTCTTTTTATTTCCATAATTTTTTTTTCCTATTGTGAGAGAGAGGAGGGTCAATTGCGTCTTCTAAGTCGTGCTTCTGATTTTTGACGACGCTAAGTGAGTTTTCATCAAACAGTTATCTATAGCATAAAATGGATGCCTGCTAAGTAAACGAAAATAAGGGATTAAGTATAAAACTGAGAGAAACCATGAGATAATCAACTTTTAAAACTTGATCTGAGTAGTGGTGCGAGAGATTGCTTTTGATGAATTGAGCAATTAAGGAGGGTCTTTCTTTTTTTTTTTTTAATACAAAAGTTGGTCATAATTAAACCATTGTGTGACCATGTAATGTTAATATGTACAATAATTATTCAGGAACTCGTGTTAATTCGGTTGTTAGTTGTACTATATTGTGGTGAAACTAATGTACTAATATAAATATTCAACTGTTGTAACAATGGTGTATGGATAAATATACTATCTGTCGATCTTTATAATAATTGATAGAGATACTTGTGTTAGTCAACTACTATAGTTAACTAGTTAACTCTTATTGTGGATGACAAACGCAAACCTTACAACCAAATAATGTACTCTCTCTGTCCCAAAATTATTGTCCAAAATTTCACTTTTAGTACAATTTGAACTAAAAATAAAAACCAAACTGGACAATAATTATGGGACGGAGGGAGTATTACATTAATAAATATGTCCAAGCTTAGAACCAAAAGAATAAGAACATTGATGTTTTTTTTCACTAGGTGTTAATGTATATGGAAAAAAGGGGACTGAAAGTAAGACGTCATGGTACATCTTAATGATGATTTCATTAATCATCATCTTTTTCCGGCCGTCGCCGCCTCCTTCCTCCTCTTTTTGTTTTGCTCCTCCTTCTCCTTCTCCTCCTTTTCGGCGGCTCTCAAGAGGCGGAACCACCTACTCGGGATGGGTCGAGAATCGCTGCTTTTTTGGGGTCGGCCTACAACCACAAAACTTTTCAAGTAACCATGAAACTGGCTCCGGCGTTGGTTCTCCGCAATGTTTTCAATCGCATCAAATGACTTCTTGGTCGACAGCAGCCACCTTTTCAGGTCAACCTCCTAAGGACTCTCCTCCTCAGAACTAGATTGAATATCATCTGCTGAATCCGGCTTCTCAACCGGCGGCGCTATATCCACTAGATCCTTCTCCTCCCCCTCTTCCTTCTTATCCCCTCTTCTTCTTCTTCTTCTTCTTCTTCTTCTTCTTCTTCTTCTTCTTCTTCTTCTCCTTACGGCCTGCAACTTCGGAACCTCGTCGATTCCGCTTCTCGTCAGGCAGAGATTGACTATCATCTGCTGGATCCACGAGCTCTTCTACCGACAGAAGTGATGGTTGCCCGGCCATTGTTGGGTAGTATACAAAGTAAACTTAGGGCTTTAAGCCAGAATGTACTAGACAATGTTTGCAGGATCGTGATCCTACGTAGGATCGAAATGAGTCATAAAATTGGATCGTAAATAGGATCGGTAGGATCGAAATAATAGAAACGTAAAATTAACTATTCATGTTATAATAATTAATTACTTAGATAATTAGGTTTCAATTATCTTTACATAAAGTATTTAACATTTAAACTAAAAAAGTTTGTAAATTCAATTTTCTTATATGAATTTTTTAGATAAACAAGGAACATTGTGTACAGATCAGGCAAAGCAAATTTTGACTAAATTGAGTTACTCTTTTGGTTACAAGAAAAAGACTACAATAGTAATATAAAGATTATAAACATAATCAATATTATGTAGATACAACTCTGATCTAACTTGCACTACATATCTGACACTGTATCTCAGACATTTGATGCCTATAAAAATTATATCTGTTAGATCTTAAACTTTTATTCTTTGTTCATCTTCATATTCTTCGAGAAATTAAATATCATCTTCCTTTTCACCAGATCTATAGAAGAAATCCATAAAAGAAAAAAAAAAAAAAAGAAAAACACAAAAACAAATTCCATCATCAAAGATAAGGAAAACCCTCGAAATGAGGGAGCAAATCTTCCAAATAAAGGAAGAGCAAACGACAGCTACCTATTGTTTACTTCAGTTTCAAAATTTTGTCTAATCCCAATACTTTAATTAGGCAAAAAAGATATTATACTAAAAAGGTGAAGTTTTAATCAATATTTTCTTAACATTTACGTATACCATGATGCGACTAATTAGGTCTGTTACAGTTTGAATTTCACTATAATCCATGCATACGTATTAAAAATGAAAATCGAAACAAGATAATTAATATTTTGGAAAAGGGGATTATCTTTTTTTTTTTTGAAATAAAAGGAACTTTCATTAACTTTATTAGAATACGTCCAACCACGATTGATAGAGGATTACAATCCCTAACATATTACAATAATCGACTAGAATTCTATAACTAAAAATCAATCGATCATCTTTACTGCAGACGACTAAAACACAAACTCTTCCACAACACCCATAAATATTTGTAGCGTCACGTACCAAAGAAAATCTCCGATCTCGAATACTTCACTTGTCATCAGAGTAAGACCTCAAAAAGCAGATCTAAAGTATAGATCCACTTTGACTGCAAATCCTCGAACATAAATCATGATTACGAACTATAACAGTACAACCATGGATAAAACCACAAACTAAAGATTACACACAATCTATAGTATTATACTAAGAGAGAAACCAGAGAAAGAAAACAAAAAAGAATTCTAAAGGTGCCACATATGATAAAATCCTATGTGTCATTTTTCTAATGGTTGAGTCAACAAATATTTACAACAATTATACTAATAGTCCTTCAAATTTTATGTAAATAAAGTTTTATCAAATGGCATTTAAAACTATAGTTTAAGATATGAAAATAAAAATTAATTAAATTTAATGGACGGAATTAATGAACATTAATGCACCAGAATTATTCCCTCCCCAAAAGAATCCCCAAAGTTACTACTGGACTCATTTAATTAATCTCTCTAAAAAAAAACTCCCTCCCAATCATGTAAATCAATAGACTACAATAAAAAAAAAAACCAATCATTCAACATTAATGTTATCTTTAAAATATTCTCAAAAATTATTACTAAAAGAATGGGATTTAAGTATAATTAAATGTTATCTTTTGAATTTCAAACCAATGCATTTATTTGTGTAATATCATATTTACCCAAATAAATATAATCTTTCCTTAATAATATCTCAAAAATATGGGATTCAAATTTGAAATCATTTAAAAAAAATAAAATCATACGTTATTTTATCAAATTTGATTATGATTCCTCTCTATCCGGTTCCATAAATTACGTTATTTTATCAAATTTGAATTTGGAAGTTATTACTTATCACACTTAAATCTATAGTATTATACTAAGAGAGAAACCAGAGAGAGAAAATAAAAAAGAATTCTAAAGGTGCCACATAGGATAAAATCCTATGTATCATTTTCTAATGGTTGAGTCAACAAATATTTACAACAATTATACTAATAGTCCTTCAAATTTTATGTAAATAAAGTTTTATCAAATGGTATTTAAAATTATAGTTTAAAATAAGAAAATAAAATTAATTAAATTTAATGGACGGGATTAATGAACGTTAATGCATCAGAATTATTCCCTCCCCAAAAGAATCCCCAAAGTTACTACTGGACTCATTTAATTAATCTCTCTAAAAAAAAAATCTCCCTCCCAATCATGTAAATCAATAGACTACAATTCAAAAAAAAAAAACACCAATCATTCAACATTAATGTTATCTTTAAAATATTCTCAAAAATTATTACTAAAAGGATGGGATTTAACTATAATTAAATGTTATCTTTTGAATTTCAAACCAATGCATTTATTTGTGTAATATCATATTTACCCAAATAAATATAATCTTTCCTTAATAATATCTCAAAAATATGGGATTCAAATTTAAAATCATTTAAAAAAAAATAAAATCCTACGTTATTTTATCAAATTTTATTATGATTCCTCTCTATCCGGTTCCATGAATTACGTTATTTTATCAAATTTGAATTTGGAATGTTATTACTTATCACACTTAAATTTTGAAAAAGAAATCTCATCTAAACCAAACACACTTGAGCGCTCATATCCCATGTACTACCTATATAAGACTCAATGGGTTATTGGTATTCCACTCGAAATCGTGACTGTCTGTGTATTCATATGAAGAAGAATGGTATAATTCTTTTTTGTAATTATTTATACCTTAACATGCTTGGATTATTTTTCTTTTAATTCAATTATGCAGATATGTGAAAAAATTAGAAAAACAAGCAAGTTGGAGGTGATGATTACAAGAATGAGCAAAGGTTTATGTTTCCATTAACTCAATACTTGCATTTCATATCCTAATATTTTATTAGGATATTACGATATAAAGATGATTGCATTTCATATCGTATTTTTTAAAAATGTACATAAATAAACCCCGCACATCGTGTGGGTTTAACATCTAGTAATAAAAAAACTAAATTACGATCAATAAAATCAGAACTAAAGATTACACCCAACAGATCAAGATCTGCTAATGGACTAAATTTATTCAAATTAAGAAATCAAAAAAAAGAAGAGACAAATTATCTCCCCATCCTCCTATAGGAGAGAAGATGGGG